GTAAAATTGTGGTATAAAAGATTTTGGGGCTGGGGCTGTAGCTCAGTGGTAGAGCGCTTGCCTTGCACATATAAGGCACTGAGTTCAATCCTCAGGACCACATAAAAATAAATAAACAAAGATATGGTGTCCATCTACAACTAAAAACATATTTAAAACAAAAAGATTTGGGGCTGGGGTTGTGGCTCAGTGGTAGAGCACTCACCTAACACGTGCAAGGTTCTGGGTTCAATCTTCAGCACCACATAATAATAATAATAATAAAATAAGGGTATTGTGTTCTATATATATTTTTTAATATAAAGAAAGATTTGGGAAAAAATGGTTCACCTACATAGAAGTTTGCAGGACTGGAAGTTGCTCTGAGTTAGTGAGTAAAAGGTGAGTGAAGGACATCCTAGAACATCACTGTACCCTACTGTCGGCTTTGTAAATACCATACATTTAGACTATATTAAATTTCCTTTCTTCAGTAATAAAATAACCTTAGTTCACTATGATTTTTTAAAAACTATTTGACTCTTTGTAATAACACTTAAGTGTAAAACACATACATATTGTACAGCTGTACAAAAATACTTTCTTTAAATCCCTTATTCTACAAGATTTAATTTGGTTAATTTTCTTTTTACTTTTTAAAATTATTTCATTAAAAACTAAGACACACATACACACATCAGCCTAGGTCTACACAGGCTCAGGATCATCAATATCATTGTCTTCTACCTTCACTTCTTTTCCTACAAGAAGGTTTTCAGGGGCCATGACACACATGGAGCTGCCACCTCCTTTGATAACAGTGACTTCTGGAATCCCTCCTAAAAGACCTGCCTGAGGCTGTTTCATAAATAGAAAAAGTACTCTCTAAAATAATGATAAAAAGTAAAATATAGTAAATACATAAATCAGCAACATAGTCATTTATTATCATCAAGTATTATGTATTGTACATAATTGGATGTGCTATACTTTTATATGACTGTCAGTGCAGTAAGTTTGTTTACCCCAGAATCACCACAGACTTGTGAGTAACGCCAGGTACTATGATGTCACTGTACCTAGGAATTTCCCAGTTCCATTATAATTTTATGGAACCATCCTCATATGTGCAGTTTGTTGCTGACTCAAACATTCTGATGTGGCACATGACTATAAATCTGGAGATCAGGGTTAAAGTTTAGGATGATATGTAAATTTATGTTACCAACATTCAAACAATATTCTTGAGACTAGAGAGTAAGGGGAAATGGACAAGAGACATAGTCCGAGGCCTCATTCTTATGAAACTCCAATGTTTAGAAAATGGGACACAACTTGGGAAGCTGAGGCAGGAGGATTGCAAATTTGAGGCCAGCTTCAGCAACTTTGTGAGACCCTGTCTCAAAATAAAAAAATAAAAAGAACTGGGATTCAGCTCATGGTAAAATGCCCTGGGGTTCAATTCCTAACCCCCCCCCCCCAAAAAAAAGAGAGAGAGAGAGAGAGAGAGAGAAATTGAGAAGATGGGAAAGCACCAGAAAGACTGAAAGGACCAAGTAGTGAGTCAGGATGAAAACCAAAGGGTCAGTGTTATTATCATCAAGTATTATGTACTGTACATAACTGTATGTGCTATACTTTTATATGACTGGCAATGCAGTAAGTGCAGTAAATTTGTTTGTCAGGAATTCTAACATGTGCTTTTTTAAATACACAACAACAGTGGAATGCATGACAATCCTTATTACACATATATAGCACAATTTTTCGTGTCTCTGTACATAAAGTATGTTCACGGCAAATTATGCCGTTATACATGTACTTTTTTTTTTTTTCATTTAACGAACCAAGATACACCAAAGTTTGTCACAGCACAGATGTGTACATTTTTTTAACAAACTGAGTGTGGGTCCTATGCCATGCACCACAGTAGCTGATGGAAACGCTCTGGTGAGAGGCAAGTCTTGACTTTTTAAGAGGGCACAGTTACTTGGAGGAAACCCAATTAGTGAACCACATGAGCAGGCTACTAGATACTATGGAAAACAAAGAAGATGATGCCTGGTGGAAACTGGGAAACCAGTAAAGGACATTAAACAAGTAGGAACACGATGACACTGCTAGGGAACTAGACAGGAGGAAAAAGGTGGTGGAAACAGATGGGATTGTTTTGGAACCCAGGGAGGAGAATGGAGCCGTCCATCAAGAGGTCAAGCCCATGGACAAAATGACTGGTGGGCTGCAAGGGACAAGGGAAAAAGAGAAGTCTAGAATTCAGACCACTTAGTCAGGGACATGACTCACGCTGACACTGTAAGCAAAACAGGGATGGGGTAGGAGAAGGTGGCAAGATGACCACCTTAGCTTTTGACCGTGTTCTTTTGAAGTATGCAGTTGTTCAGTAGTCCAGTGACTGCAAGGTCGGAACTCTAGGAAAAAATGTGGATTGGAGAGGGAGATTTACACTTTATCATACTGAAAGTTCAGTCTTAGCCAGTCATCTGGTTTCTCAAGGAAAGCCAGAAATCTGAATTTTTTAAATGGAAAATCTCCCAGTTTTAAAATGTAGCCAATCAAATAAAAACAAGAACAACTGTGAACTCTATGTCCAAGGTGGTTCACAAACATGTGATTTTGCATTTTAATAATATATACTGAAGAGAAATTAAGTGGCTAATAAAAAAAGACTCATAAGTAGTAATAGAGCTAGAACTAGATCTTGAATCTAGATCTTGTTACAAAATATTTCTTTCCTTTGTGATTTTGATTACACTGAAGAGTGTGTAGACTGAGAAGAGAGAAGGGCAGAGAGCAGAACTCCAGACAATTTTAATGTTTAAGCCATTTCTAGAGGATTAAGCGCCCAGAAAGACACTTTAAACAAGTAGGCACAAAGATAAGAAGTAAAGATGAGTGAAAAAGCAGAATCTAGACCATAAAGACTTTCTGAATGGGGAAGAAGTCAATGGTGTCACATGCCACAGAGAAGTCTAAGTTCATTCCTTGGACTTAAGTAGAATATCCTCACCATGATCACCTAGTAGGTCAGTAACTTAAAAGTTCATGGCATATTGCTAAAATAGCCTCAAACAATCACATTCTTTTGTTTGTTTATTAAAAGTAATCCCATAAGTGAATCTATAATTATTTCAAAATAAGTTTTTAAAACAATCCTATAGTAGTAATCATGTTTTAAAAGAGATCTGGAAACATTTGTTTTCCAATAAGCCCTACATTATCTAAATGTAGGATCACAAACTTAAATATCTACAGGGACCAGGTAAGAAAAATGAAAGAGAGAATAAGAATTCAGGGGAAAAAAACCTTCAAAAATCTGTAGAACACACGTCCTTCCTAAAAAGAACAGCCATAGTCAGTTCTCAATACATGGCCATTTGGGACAATCTTGCCAGGTCATCTGGTTTTTTGTAGGGGGTACTGGGGATTAAACTCAAGGGCACTTGACCACTGAGCCACATCCCCAGCCCTAGTTTGTATTTTATTTAGAGACAGGGTCCCACTGAGTTGCTTAGCACCCCACTTTTGCTGAGGCTGGCTTTGAACTACTCCTGCCTCAACCTTCTGAGCGGCTGAGATCACAAGTGTGTGCCACCATGCCCAGGTAGGTCATCTGGTTTTTCAAGAAAAGTCAGAAAACCTGAAAATATTTTATATAAAACCTACCAATTTTAAAATGTAGCAAAGTAAGTTTTTTACAGGATTCTTTGTGAATCCTGTAAAATTTCTTTTAAGTTCACATAAGAGAAATCCATCAATAGGTCCAAGATGGTTTTATGTTTGCTCTATTAAACATACTATGATATAGCATTTTAATCTTATACACTGAAGGGAAATTAAGTGGTTAATAAGAGGCTTATAACTCAGTGAAACAAATATCTTTAGAATGAAGTTTTTAAGATAACATCATGTAGATATGCAAATTTCTAGAGAAAAGTTTAATTATTGCTGGTAGAAAGCTAGACTCCAATTATTAAGATTTTATTTACTTATAATATAGACTATACTCATCCATCTATGCAACATATATTGTGAACTTACTGTCAGTGAATAGTCTCAAGCTTAGAAGACATACATTTAAAGTAATAATCTCAATAAATCCTGGAGGTAAGTGCTACAGTTAATCATGAGGAAGGGGTTAGCATAGCTAATTATCTTTGTTCTTATTAACAGCCTCTAACGTGGAGTATGCTGATTTTGCAAAAACCAGATATGATAGCTTCAAAGTCAGAGAGTTTGGTGGGACATAGATCCAGGTGTTTGGGCTGCAAGTCCATAACTAAGAAACAGAACAAAAAAAGGAGTCGTTTTTTTTTTAATCTTCTTTTTCTTCTTTTTTTTGGGGGTGGGGGTGGGGGGGTACCAGGAATTTAATTCAGGGGCTCTAAACCACTGAGCCACATCCCCAGCCCTATTTTGAATTTTATTTAGAGACAGGGTCTCACTGAGTTGCTTAGCGCCTCGCTGTTGCTGTGTATCTTCTCTTTCTCAAGAAGTTAATACACTCCTTTGTGCATGCCTTTGTAAAGCAACGTTTACTTATATAAAGTTCTAGGTAATGTTAGCTATGTTCTCTGAGTTACACCATTCCAACTCATGTCATGTTTTATTTTTCTTTTGGGAGTCACAAACTAGTTTGAACTTGAAAGACGTTTTGTGTTGCAGAGAGAGGCATGTTGGTTAGAAGCAAGAGAATCGGTTTGGCGCCAGGGTCATCAGAATCTAGCAGCGTTTGCATAAAACCTAATCCAAATCCCAACCCACCAGTCTTTACTGCGGCTATTTAGTATTCTCAGCAAAACCAGAACGTGGCCTCAAGGTGTCATTGGGCTTGGCTCAAGCTTTTGCCTACAGTTTGGCTAAGGAGTTCTGAAATTAAGAACAGGGCCTGTATTTACTGGGAGAAATGTTATTTACAGTCGGGGCCTGAGGAAGCCAAAGCCGACAACAGCAGAGCTGCAGCGCGGTGCCGCCGCCATGCAAGCAGGTCACACACCGCTCACCTTCACAGTCAGTCTCCGGCCGTCCCCACGCCTGCTGGCCCTGGGCCGGCACCGGGTTCGAGACCCAAAGCCCAGCACAAAATGCCATCACGGCAGCGGGGCTAGCGCACCGCATGCTGAACCAGCAGCTCTAATCGCCTCTACCACTCGCTCGTTGCCGAACGTTTCTACAGGACCTCCAGAAGAGACTGGAAAGAATCTGCCCAGAGTTGCTAGGACAAAAGACGCAACTCGATACAGAGTTTCTATTGGCTCTTGTGAAAGGCACAAGAAAGGGGGAGGAGCTGAGGACCCTCTTCCTGTCCCTGACCAGTTTACGCGTGCGCACTATCGCACGCGCTGTGCGGCTCGGGGGAGCGCGGAGAGACGCACTAAAGCCATTCGCTGACTTTTCGGAAAGGAAGGCAGGACCTTCACGCTGATTGGTGGCAATGGGAGGCTGGCTCGACAGACCGGACGCAGTGGGCGGGCGGGAACGTGAAGTCTCCGCGGTGCCTGATGGGGCTGTTCGGTGGCGGGTAGCTGTTGCCTCTGGGGGTCCCTTAGTTACTGCCGCCGCTGTCCTTGCCGCCTCATGGCGGCCATCGGAGTCCACCTGGGCTGCACATCAGCCTGTGTGGCCGTCTATAAGGTGAGACGCTGAGGACGCTGGGCTATGGATTTCATGTCAGGTACCCCGTTCTCGGCACCGAGTTATACACAGGTAAAGACGCCGAGTTGACGGCCTACAAACGTCGCTTGGAGGCGAAGGGCCGAGGAGGCCCGGCCTCGTCCCCCGCTGCTTATTTGGCAAGCCCGCTGCGCCTTGGTTGAGGCTTCTGTCTTCGCAGATGCTCAGGTTTCGGGGATGCCCAACGGTATCCTGGGGACGTCGGAGCTAAGGGAAGCCGGGAGGGTTCCGGGTACTACAGGGCCACAGGATGCCCAGAGGGGTTCCAAGGATGTCAGGGTCACACGGTGCCCGGAGGAGGCCTGGAGATTTCGTAACTGTAGGGATTGCTTGGAGAGGTCTCGGGGATGTGGTCAGAGGATGCCTAGAGGGTTTCGGGAGACCTCAGTGTCTCAGAATACCCAGAGGAATCCCCGAGGCAGAGATGTTTGGATATATCAAGACCGCAGGATCCCCGTGAGGTCCTGGCCACAGGATTCCGGAGGGGTCTTAGTGATATCAGGGCTGCAGATGCTCAGAGGGGGCTCTGTGACGTCACGATCTCAGGATTCCTAGGGGTGGGCAGTCCTTTTGACGTCAGGGCCACAGGACTTGCTGAGTTTGGCCTTGTGTCTGGGATCCAGAGGGAAGGGGTGCGAAGATCTGGAAGTGAGCCCCGCGCGCCTGGCTGTGAAGCAACTAGATCGGAAGTGCTCCTCGGACATGGGCTTTCTGAGAGTTCAACAAGGAGTTGTGGCCTTTCTCTCATCAATAACAAGATAGAGGGAAAATAATAACGAATTCCCTTGTTCCTAGTCCCGCATTTAAATGTCAAATGTTTTGTTAAGGAAAGTCCACAGGGATTAGTACTACTTCATTTGTGGAAAAGGGAAGAAAGATGTATTTGTAGGAGATAGATAGCCTGATGTAATAGATGCTTGTTATTATCTTGTATAGCAAGGTTGTTATTATGTTTGATTCAATAGTTGACTTTGCAGAGCAGACTGAAAAACGGAGGCATTTGTTCATGGAAGTTAACCTACCATAAAACCTAGGAAATTAGTAGTGGTAATTACATCTACCATTTTAAAATATTGATAATAGTAACTTTTCTTTCCATCTAGATGGCAAATACTGGCCCACATTTATTTTTAAAAAACTAATACTGTTGTGTTTTTCTCTAGGATGGCCGGGCTGGTGTGGTTGCAAATGATGCAGGTGATAGAGTTACTCCAGCTGTTGTTGCTTACTCAGAAAACGAAGAGGTACAGTTCTCCTCATTTTTGTATTTAGAAATAATGAGAAATTACATGCATTATATATGTTGCTCTTTTTCAGGTGGTGGGATTGGCAGCAAAACAAAGTAGAATAAGAAATATTTCAAATACAGTAATGAAAGTAAAGCAGATCCTTGGCAGAAGGTATGATACAAAATGATACTTTTAAATATGGTAACAAAAACATGTTTATAAATTCTAGGCTTAATATGAAGTTAAATGGAACTTTAACAGTTTGTTATTTTGTTGCTTTTTATGACTGAGTCCTTTGAGACTACCCCAGTAGGACTATTTCTTTTGATTATTATTGTTGGATCTTATCAAGGATGAAATTCACTTAGATATTTGATTTCTTGCTGACAGATCTGTTGGTATTGAGTGCCAGAGGTGGTAATTTGGACTTTTCACATTTTTATATAATTATTATTTTTCTTAACTGAGGGAACTTGAAAGATTTTGTGGGAACTTGAAGATTTCGTTGCATGGTGCTTGGATTTTTCAAGATCCATTATAATTGGTCATAATTTATGTAGATGCTATTGATTTTCTTTCTTAAGGCCCTCTGACACTTTCTGGGAACTGACTTTTCCAGTTGGCTTTCAAATTTAATCATTAGAGAAACGGCTTAATTAATGTCTTATGTAAGAATCAGGTTAATCATCTGTTCTCACTTTAATTAGAAGATTAAAGAGGCTTGCTTCCTCAGACTTCTGTCTCCTCAAATTATAGATTATCATAATAATTAATGGTTTTCCTTCACTAGAGTAGTAGTACCTGATAGAGTGTTTTTTAAATTTTCAGGTGCTTTCACATCTATTATTTTATTTCATCCTCTGAACATCTCTATAGAAATTGGTAGGGCAGGTACTATCCTTCCCCATTTATGGATGAACAAATCATGGTACATGGAAGTGGTGGCATATTTAAATTAATTAGAAAGGTGAAGTAGATAAGACTGCAGTTCAGGTTTCCTAATCCTCAGCCCCAGGTTCTGTCCTTTCCCTGCCTCCCTACTAGTGCCAGGTATTGAACCCAGCTACATGCACAAGTTGTTCTACCATTGAGCTATACCCCCAGCCCTTGACTTTCTGTTTTATCTAATGAAAATTTAAGTGGACATATCCTTGTGTTGATTTTAAGATTTAGAGATTACAGATTGATGTTTATTTCTATTACATGTGCAGGATTTTATAAAATTATCTCTTGCCTGTGTTTAATTAAATACAACTTGATATTTTTACCTTAGGATGTCCAGAGACTAAGCCAAAAATTATAGCATTTTGGAGAGAATTCAGATATTTGTGATGAAAAATTTATTCCCATATCCTTTTACCTGTTGGTAAAACTTAGTTCAAAGCATGCTAGAAACAAATTGGCTAGTGTCAAATATTTTTCAAATCATGAACTGGAAAAAAGCAAGTGATTATAATAGGTCTTGAAGTCGGAATTGCTGAGAAGCCAACAATTTGATTTCTTGAGATAATTGTGATTTTACATGCTGTTATAAGAAATAAACAGAGGCATCCAATATATTATTGAATTTACCAGTTCCACCAATAGTAACTTCTTGCATAATTGTAGGACAATATCACAATCAAGATACTGATATAGCCAAGATACAGAATATTTGCATAGATCTGTTGCCTGGTAGCCAATAATATATAGGTGTATTTTGTTTTGTTTCTTTTATGCTGCTTTTTGGGGGTGGATGGTTAGAGTAATGAAGTAGCTGTCTTCTGCCATGTTATGCGGAAAGTGTTGTATTAGCAGAACAACTTAAATTCAACTTTTCTGGCCCTGAAAGTAACCTTTTAGTAAAGAAGTGCAATAGTGGCAGTCAGATGGATAACAAATAGCCACAACATGTTAGTTGGGTTAAGGTTAGTAAAGGACAAGTATCCTTCAGATATATTTTGCTTACACCCTGGTCCTGCCAGTACTTCTCTAGAGTTAGTTACCTCATGGTCCAGGGTATTTTTCTCTTTAGCCTGTCTACTTACTAGAGGATGGGGATTTTTTACAGACCCATAATTGTACTAGGTGTTAATCTTGAAAGCATTTGACTCTTTGTGGGGAAGCCAGTTTTTTTGTGAAGCCCCCTGATCCAGTACCCACCCTGGGCAAACTCCCAAAGTTGGGCTTTCTCAGTCTTGGCCTCATGCCTATTTATGATCTACTCACAGGTAGCATTACTTAATTTGCTGCCCTCCCTGTAACTCTCATTCCCCTGTGGCTTTCCAGCCAGAAATGCGGTCCTTGGACCTGGCATCTCAACAATTAGCCCTGAGAGGGAAGAATCGGCTGGCTCCTGGAAATGTACTGAGAGTACACAGAGCTTCCCCACACCTTCAAATTTGCACCTTGCTGCCAGGAGCTTGCTTCAGTAGCCTTCCTTCCTTCCTTCCCAACCCACTATGGCCACTTCTAATAGCAGTGCGGGCATCCGGTGGTCCAGACAGGAGACACGAACTCTTCTCTCCATACTAGGCGAGGCAGAGTATATTCAACGCCTCCAGACTGTGCATCATAATGCAGATGTCTATCAGGCTGTGTCTAAGCGAATGCAGCAGGAAGGCTTCCGCCGCACCGAACGTCAGTGCCGCTCCAAGTTTAAAGTTCTGAAGGCATTATATTTAAAGGCCTATGTTGCACATGCCACAAGTATGGGTGATCCACCTCACTGTCCATTTTATGATACATTGGATCAGCTTCTCCGAAATCAGATAGTGACTGACCCAGACAACTTAATGGAGGCTGCTGCTTGGGCCAAGCACTGTGATCAGAACTTAGTTGCCTCTAACATCCCAGGGGAAGAGGGAACCAGCATTCTGAAAGCAAAAAGGAATCAGACAGCTGATCGTCAGACTATCTTGAAAACAGTTAAGGAATCAGATGAGGATTGTCAGCTGAGAATCAGTGACCGGATGCAAGAATCCAGTGACCTCGAGGACTCCTGGGCTGAATCCTCGGGTGCAGGTAACTCCCAAGCATGTGAAGAATTGGGGTCTCGGAGTCACTTGGTTCCAAACAGCAATGAGTGGCTGGATAGTGCCCTCTTTAGCATAGGCCTTATTCCTGCCCCAATCCCACCCTTTTTTTAACTTCATAATAAGATAAAGGGCTCAAGGTTTTAAAAAGCCACCACCCTAGGTATGTAAGAAATTAGAACTCCTTAATTCTTGGAACGAAAATGGAAGACATTCTTTTTAGAACCAAAAAGCATTTCCCCATTATTTCTTATGGGGAGTTCGGAATTTGTGGGAATCAAATGGGTTGGATAGCTAGTAGAAAGGGGTTTGGCAAGGCAGGGGGGGAATTTTTGGAGTCGAGACAACAATAGGCCAAAATGTCCCGATTGAAGAATGATTTCCATTCCCTTGTGGAGAGAGGCCTTTCCAAGAATCATCCTAGTTTTGTAACTGTCTCAAAACTCTGCTGTAACTCTGCTGCTGGCTCCAAGCATTCCCTTACCAGGAGTGTCCTCTTTGCAACGTTGTTGCTTTGTTTTTCAGGGTGCTCTCAAGGGACCCCCAGCTACAGCAGCTCCCACAACCTTTTCAGAGGTGCAGCTGCTCTCTGTCAGAGCAGCCCTATGACCAGACGGGGTATGTCGGGTGAACCCAGTCCCTGCACCAGCACCAGCCGAAACACTCCTTGTGTAGCCTCCACACCGCGGCCTCCGGTCTCCTCTTCCAGAGTTGGTTTTGTCTCTAGCGAGGATAGGCCTTTGACCAGTGAGCCCCCTCCAAAGTGGGCAAGGCGAAGAAGGCGGTCAGTGGCCAGAACTATTGCAGCTGAGTTGGCAGAAAACAGGAGATTGGCACGAGAACTTTCAAAGCGTGAGGAAGAAAAACTGGACAGGTTGATTGCTATTGGTGAGGAGGCCAGTGCCCAGCAAGACGCTGCCAATGAGCTGCGCAGGGATGCTGTCATCGCAGTCAGACGCCTGGCGACAGCAGTGGAAGAGGCAACTGGTGCTTTTCAGCTAGGGCTCGAAAAATTGCTTCAAAGGTTGATTTCAAATACCAAAAGCTAGGAACTGGTTTCAAAAGGATATATTTCCTAAACGGTAGAAATCTACTTCCAATACCTGTCTTCTAGTACTCTGACATCTTTTCTATATCAGAAAAAAAAAGAGTAGACGAACCATTAATATAGTAGTAGGGAGTCAACTTGTAAATTCCTTTTCCTGGGATTCTCCACTAATTGAAAGACCTTTCAGAAGTGTGAGGGGTGGCCTAGTAGAAAACAGATGGAGCCAAGTTCAAGTGAGCTAACTTGTCCTGGCTTTGTCACAGATATGAGGCAATTTACTTTACCTCTCTGCAACAGTTTCCCCATCTGTAAAATGGTGGATAGATAATAACTCCTGCCCTGCCTACCTCACAGGGTTGTTGTGAGGATCAGATGGCTAATAGATGTGAAAGGTTTAAACGTTTAAAAGCACTATACACATGTAAGTTATTACACATATAAACTTGGCTTTGGCAAGGCCAGGGTGAGCACATTAGTTTACAATATGGCCATGTACCATGACCTCATTGCTTGAATCTTGACTTGTTTAATTTGCTTCATGGAGTATGAGATCTTAATTATTAAATCCCTCTGTGGCTCATTAGACTCGCATAGGCACAACATGTATTTGTCTTCTATAATTTAACTGCCGTGTCTCTGACATATCTACTAGTAGGTGCCCTATTTTAGTAGTCAAACCAGCTTTCCCTCCTTCATTTTACTAGTTCTTAGTCTTCTTTCAAGACAAGGATATAATTAAGAACTGACTAGGTACCAAAATAGTGCATTATGGTTCATATTGATAATCTTCAATATGGTGAAATATTGGCTGTTTTATAAAATAGTGTAAGTAAATTCTTTGCATTTCATATCATTTGGATTCCTTTGTGTGCACAGGTTATATCTTTAAATTTTGGTTGCCATTGGAATATTTGGGAAACAATTTGGATTATGTCAATTTCCAACTTACTATTAGCTAATTTTTTTCTTTTTTGGCTTTGGTTTTGGTTTATTTTTATTTTATTTATTTTTTGTCTAGCCTGTTATAAAGGGCAAGTCCTAGCAAACTTTCCTTTCAGGGAACGTTCCATGGTCAATCACTTTTTCTCAAGTGGTATAAATAAAAGTTCAAGTAGTTAGTGGCATCTAGTGGAAGAGAACAACTTTGTTTCCTGTTAGCTCTGAGAACATTAGAGGGTGTTGTGGACAGGAACAGCCTGCAAATAGGTAACTCCTTTTACGCACAGCCCTTATTAAACATACTTCCTCACCCAAGCACACACATTCTCTAGTGAGATAAGCAACACTTCCAGTTTACTTCAGAAGGAAAGTCATTACTTAAAACCGTCAGTGGTTTACTTAGTACTTTCAGGAAATTCAAATAGGAGTCTTGGATTTAAAAAGTTTCCTGCAGTCAAGAATCTGGGAGGTGGGATGGAAGTACATAGGGAGAGGTTTTGTTTTGTACACTGCAGGTCTGGGTTCATATCTAAATCCCAGAAGTGCAAATAGATAAAGAAATACAAAACTAGGACCTACCTGAAATTGTGAACAGCTAGCTAACAAGCAAGCTGCTCTGATAAATGACTGGTGGATATGTGAACCAGCTGGTGTGGTAGAATGCACTGGAATCTAGTTAGAACTCCTAGACTATCTCTGCCATGGTTTGTTTCATGGGGCAAATCACTTGCCCTTTTTGTGCCACTATTTGTTTATTTCTTACTTGAGAGATTTGTACTAGATGATTTTCTTCCTAGTAACTTTCAGTTCTTAAAAAAAAATTAATAGCATAATAAAAGAAAAATGAAAATGAAACCTTAATTGTCATTTTCAGTCACAGCAGCATATTAATGTATGTTTGAAAGACTGGCAACAATTGTATTTTAAGGGAGCACCCTATGGTATTAATGTTTATTAATGTACCCATGAACTTCTAAGCACTGCATCATGCTTACAGATTCCTTACTTTCAAGAAGCATGTGTTAAGGCATTGAAATGGATATACATATATCCATTGTTTAAATTGTTTTAGGCCGTTATGTGGAAAGATGTGTCAGTTGTAACTGGCTAACACTAATGTAGATAAATAGATTATCTGGGAAAACAGGGAAGTACTTGAAGGAGAGTTGGACCTGTCCCATATAAAACTACTAATTGTAGCAAAGTACATAGGCAGGGATTTACTTAAGATAATAAAGTGCTGAAGAACAAAAGTGGAATTAAACTTTGGTGATAGATTGTGAATATCTAACAGGTGAAATAACCATAATGTGGGAATAAAAGTTAAGGGAAAGGTCCTTAAGAAGTAGTAGGAAAATATGCTAAGACTATTAAAGGGAGAGAATTTGTAATAAAGGGAGACCATGTACAAGAAAGCAAGCTGGGAATCCTACCTAAGCCCCAGGCCCAACCATTACTACTAAAGTGAGAAACTAACAATTGTTCTACCTACCTCACAGGGGTGTTGTGAGGATCCAATGAACAGATGAATGTAAAAGCACTGTTAAACATGTAGGCACTAAAATGTAATAGGAGTGGGGATGGAGACCCTGTAGCACTTGAGTGCTGGTGTGTGCCATGCCTGGGGGCCTGATGACTGTAAGGGTTACTTGAGGAAGAGGAAAAAGTGGTATTACTGGTAAAGTTTGTGATGCAATGGTAGGATTCATGCTGCCTCCTAAAGACCATGATATGAATGAGGTGCTATGTAGACCAGCTTCCACCACGTTTGTTTTTCTGTTAAGTAATTTAATCCGAGTGTGGACAAATAAAGTTTTTACTTGTGTGTAGTTGTGGGTCAGTCCGCTACTTTCTGAAGATATCTGTGCACCTGTGTCACCTCCGTTCTCTGCTTTCCATATCTCTGCTTTTGAGTCTCTAGTGTCTTGCCTGTATGTGGCCTTAAGAGCAACATGTGCTTTCTGTTTGCATATAAAAGAGGGCCTCTTTGCATGGCAATTAAGAAATCATTTTCTATTTCTAAAAGATCTGTGAATTGAATAAAAATATCTTTCCTTGAAAATTATCCCAAGTGGTAGATAACCTACACATAGTTGAATAAATTATCTTGGTTGACTTAATTCTGTCCTAAAGAAAATAGCCAGTGTCAAAGTGTCATGCTGAAATTGTAGTATTGGTGCAAAATCCCACTGTAGGCACACTTCATCTTTTTTTTTCCTAAAAATACTTGGAATGTTGTCTTAATATTGGTTTAGAAAAAAGGAGCAGAGGAGTTATTGAATACTAAACTTTGTATTGAATATCTGGATGCCAGCCTTTACTTAACTATGTCACTTTGGGCTGGCTCCTTACCTGTTTCTCCTCCCATTAGTTGATTTTTTTTAGGGAATAGAGAAGGAAGAGTAATCTGCAAGTATACTAGAATTATAAGCCAAATTAGTCCATTTTAAACCCTTTTGTCTTCCTCTTGTTTACCTGGTTAAAGGTCTTTATATGTTGTGTAACCCACAATGAGTCAATATTAATTTTTAGCTCTTAATATACAATTTAGACTGTTTCTGTGTATAATAGCCATATCTACTTGGATAACTACTAGTAGAGATGCTAATCGATTTCATCTTAACTTCTAGATGAATTTAGCTAAGGATCAGAGATTCTCATCCCTGCAGGGGTAGAAGTATAGTGGTCATTTACCATATTAGTGGTGAAAGGCTGAGGGGATTTGCACCTTTTTGAATTATGAGTCTGCCCCTCTCTGAACCTGTTTATCTCTAAAATAGTGGCCATCAAATGAATTTTTGGGTCAAATAGGTAATAAATGTGAAAATACTCTGTAAATTGATATAATCTTGAGCAACAAAACAGTCCTTGCTTTCATGTTTTCTTTGCCATATACATTTATTTAATAGTCTGTATGGGATATTATAGAACTGTCTATACTGGATATAGCAGTACTATCTTTCCATATACAAACATTTATACTTTTGCTTGGTCTTTTGATTTGGGGTATTGATTTTTTTGTTCAGAAATCTAGCCACAAAGGTGATGTTAGATCTTTGCCCTTAGTTTACAATGTTATCTCCTTTGTCCTTTTTATCTCAGTGGCTGGGTCTTCAGGATTATAGGCGTGAAATTGTAAGATATAAAATCATTGACATTATGAAAAACTGCCTCAAAATATATTGGCAAGATCAGAATAAGAGTTATTTACTTTCAAATGTGGAGCTTAGTACTTTAGTAGAATTACTATAACCATTTAAATACTCCATTTAATTCTGTTTTCTGTAATTGAAAAAATTTTTTATTAAGCAGTTTAATAATTTTGTTGATATTTTAATGTTTGTCCAGTGATATTGAAAAATGTAGTGATCTTTAAACTTTACAAATCTACAATACTAATTTTAATAATTAGCTATCTTTATATTTCTCTTTATGGACAGCTCTGATGACCCACAAGCTCAGAAATACATCATGGAAAGTAAATGTTTAGTGAGTATGGTTCTCTTATTGCTTTCCTGTCACACAAGTAATTGCCAAAGATCATGTAATATTGATTTGAAACTATATTAAAAAAATTATTGCTCAGCACAATTATAATTTCTTTTCTAGGTTGTTGAGAAAAATGGGAAATTACGATATGAAATAGATACCGGAGAAGAAACAAAATTTGTTAATCCAGAAGATGTTGCCAGACTGATATTTAGTAAAATGAAAGGTATTGAACAAAAGAGAAAACAATTAACTTTGAATGATCTTTAAAACGTTGACCTTAAGAAAAAGATGACATACTTTTGGCTTATGGGAGAAGCTGAGTATACAGCTGACTGTAGAACCCAACCTATATTATAGAACTGGTTTTGGCCACTAGCTCACTTTGTAACCTTGATATTTAAATGACTTATCTTCTGTGACTTTGATTTCCTTGTTACATTCACATTGAGTATCCTTTATGTGAAATGCTTGGAACTAGGATTGCTTCAGAATTCAGAGTTCCTCAGATTTGAGGATATGTGCAGAGGTCTTGGAGTTGAACATCCCCAATCCAAACATCTGAAATCTGAAATGTTCCAAAATCCAAAACTTTTTGAGCATTGACTTGGAGAATTTCGTATTTTCAGAATAGGCCTGTCCACACTGTAATGTAAATGGTTTGGGTTAGATGAGCATTTTCAAAACTTCCTAATAGTCAGCAGTCAAATAAACATGAATGACAAATATTATATCTCTTAAGATTATCAGCACACTTTGAACAGGAGTGTAGGCAGATCAAATAGGTATGAACAAGCTGGGAAATTCTGGAATAGATTATTTATAAGGGTCATTTATGAATCTGTGAGGTGGAAGGCAGCCCTTGTATTGAAATAACATGATGCTATATCTTCACATTGACTCATTAGTAGCTCGTTCTCTATGAATTTAATCTAATTTGGAAGATGGTTGAAACTTGGAGGGGAGTCAGGCTCTTTGAAAAGTAGCTAGTTCTGTGTCCACAAGCTATCACCAAAATCATACTTTATGATTTATAAAATTGACAGGGTGAGGCAGTCCAGTGAATTGGAATATTTGTTTAGTGAGATGATCTTTGGCATAAATTTAAAAATCTCAGAAAGTATTGCTTAATATTTTTCTTCTCATCAAAATTTATTTTTCTTTTTTCTTATTTTTTTAATGTACAGAAACAGCTCATTCTGTCTTGGGCTCAGATGCAAATGATGTAGTTATTACTGTTCCCTTTGACTTTGGAGAAAAACAAAAAAATGCTCTTGGGTAAGTATACTACAGAGTTTATCTCATATGCTTAATTAGGAGAAATACAAATTTCTTGGTATCACTATAGAGTAAAAGGTAAAATTGTATTTCAAAATAACTTACCTGGGGCTGGGGTTGTGGCTCAGTGGTAGAGTGCTCACCTAATGCGGGTGAGGCACTGAGTTTTATCCTCAGCACCACAGAAAAATAAAGGCATTTTGTCCACCTCCAACTAAAAAAATATTTTAAAAAAACCAACTTACCTAATAAATAATGTTTATAAATACCATAGTATGGCAATAATATTTCCTTTTACAAAATATCAAGAGAACAAAAAAGTTAGATGTGTGGTACCCTATTAGCTGTTTTGATTGGAAATGTTTTTAATTACTGAGTTAAACTGATGTTTATGGATCACTTTGCCTATTTCATGTAATTGAGGTTTATGTGGGAATTACATAGACTGTTCAATTGTGCAAAATTTTCTGATTATTTCATCATCTTAAATCATAACATCTAAACAAAAATAGTTAACATTTCGTGTTTATGGGTGATCATGAGAATAATTGGGAAACATGCCTTTGCTTTTTCATCAGAGATTTTATCAGGGGCTTTGACATGCATGGAGGTTGCTTCTGAGACAGAGGATTGCAATATTTACCTTTAAAAACTGTGACCCTAGATTTTAAAAAATTGGAAAATTCCAAACTGTTTTATGAATTTATCTTAATGTCTTTATAACATTTTTAAGCTTGGGTGGGGCAGGGGTTGTGGCTCAGTAGCAGAGTGCTTGCCTCACACATATGAGGCACTGGATTCAATCCTCAGCACCACGTAAAAATAAATAAACAAAATAATGATATTGTGTCCATCTATAATTAAAAAATAAAAATAATAATTTTAAGCTTAGATTTTTTTTCAGTGTTTATTGATTACTATTTAATTCACATTGTATTCAGGTTTGAATACATGGAGATAAATAAGACATGGTTCTGACCTCACAGAATTAGCAGGACAATTAGGGAAGAGTGTGATCAGTGTTTTGAATTGTGAAAGTTCTGAATAACACGTAGGAGGGCATCTCTTCTAAACACTGAGAGCCCAAAAAGAATTCACAGAAAAAGTGAACTTTTTTCTTCTTAGCACAGACATTTTTTTTTTTCTAATTTTGCCACTCTGATGGTTTTTTTTATACCTTTATTTAATATATTTATTTATTTTTATTTAGTGCTGAGGATCAAACCCAGTGTCTCACACATAAGAAATTAACTTCTGGTTTTGTATATGCTTTAATCTATATAGACTGTGTTGTAGTAACTTGCATAATACATAGAATTTCTATATTCAGTTCTCTTAAAATTTATTATAATTCTTGATTTATAGGCAAGTGCTCTACCACTGAGTTATAACCACAGCCCAGCATGGACATTTTTGAGTTCTTTATTTTTCTTACTTGGTATAAACCCATAATATTTTCTTTGTCAAGAAAATGAACTCTAGGGGCTGGGGATGTGGCTCAAGTGGTAGTGCGCTCGCCTGGCATGCGTGCAGCCTGGGTTCGATCCTCAGCACCACATACAAAGATGTTGTGTCCGCCGAAAACTAAAAAATAAATATTAAAAAATTCTCTCTCTCTGTCTCTCTCTTTAAAAAAAAAAGCTTTCTCAATCTCAATATTAAAAAAAAAAAAAAGAAAATGAACTCTGAACATTGTAACTTTGAACAGAAAGTGAACTCTTGAAAGAGTACTTTCCATTTCAGATGTTCTACTTTTCTTGCACTTCATGTCTGCTTCATGTCTACTTGTGAAATCTTGCTTGCTGTTGCATACTTTTTTAAAAAAAATTTTTTTTAGTTATACATGGGCACAACATCTTTACTTTGTTTATTTATTTTTATGTGGTGCTGAGGATCAAACCCAGGGTCTCACATGTGCAAGGTGAGCACTCTACCACTGAGTCACAACCCCAGCTCCTATTGCATACTTTTTCATCAGAGCTTTTCTAAAGGTGTAGGTTTAAACATTGTGATATTAAACTCATTGAAAGCAAATTGTTCACAGAGAAGCAGCTGGAGCTGCTGGATTTAATGTTTTGCGTTTAATACATGAGCCATCTGCAGCTCTTCTTGCTTATGGAATCGGACAAGACTCCCCTACTGGAAAAAGGTAAAGACCATATTTGCAGTAATAAGTTTTCTCAGTTTTGAAAATTTTTTAGATTATGGAAATAATGTAAATAGGGATTGTTATTAATGCAGTGATTTCTCACCTTTATGGAGAGAGAGAATAAACCTCCCACCTAGAGTTTTTCAAGTTATTGAGAAAGAGGTAATTGGGAAAGCAGGGAAAGGACATAACAGGAGGGGAGATTGATCTTTTCTGCACTTCTCTCTGTTGGAGGAATATTGGAAAATTACAGGTCCAGCCCAGTTCCAATGGAAGCTAGGACATTGTTCATTTTACTATCAATTCCAATTATTAGACATGCTTAGAAGAAGTGATTATATTTTATGTATAGTTGTATTGGCAAGAGATAGGGAGAAATCCAGCCTGAAGATCTGAGAAGATTCGCCATTCTTTTGATGGTGAAATAGTAAATATATACTTACTACAATTTAGTTGTCAACATTTGTCTTAATAGGTGTGATAATCACAAAACTTTAGAGAAATTAATTGATATAATATATTGTGTTAACTTTCCTTAATGGTTTCACCTCATTCAGTTTCTCATGTTGAAGAAACTAATATGTATAAATCACTAGGAAATTATTTTTAGGCAAACTAGATGAAGATAGAAATATCAATAAGTGTGAATTTTGATACATAAGAATTTAACTTCTCGTTTTGTATATGTTTTAATCTGTATAGACTGTGTTGTAGTAACTTGCATAATACATAGAATTTCTATATTCAGTTCTCTTAAAATTTATTATAATTCTTGATTTATTTTGAAAAGTAGTGTTTTGGACTATGATTACTCAGAAAAATATAGTTTTACTAGCATGATTATGTAAAACATTGGCCTGAATTCAGAAGCACTAAGTTAAAGTTGGATTATATCTAAGGGACTGTAGACAACTTACTCCTCTGAGATTTTCAGTTTCTTCATTTGCAATTTAGAGGGATTAAGTTAAGTGACTTCTACCATCCCACCTGGCTTTAGAATGTTGTGATTCTCTGATAGCCTACTCACTTTATCTTTCTCTTGAAGCAATATTTTGGTATTTAAGCTTGGAGGAACATCCTTATCTCTCAGTGTCATGGAAGTTAACAGTGGAATGTATCGGGTTCTTTCAACAAACACTGATGATAACATCGGTGGTGCACATTTCACAGAAACCTTAGCACAGTATCTAGCTTCTGAGTTCCAGAGGTGAGTTTTAATGGTCTAGATAATACATTTTGATTGAGGCTGCTATTCAAGTATAAAAAAAATTTTCCCTTAATTTGCTTTAAATTACTATGCTGCAAATGAAGATGGGTTTTTTTCAGTGCATGGGAACTACCAATAGGAAAGATGGGTACTAATTTATGTACATTTGACTTAGCAGGAGATAGTGGGGTCAGGGAGGATCCAGCCTGAAGATTCAAGAAGATTCCCATTCTTTTTCTTTTTTTAGTTGTAGATGGAATACCTTTATTTTATTTATTTATTTTTATGTGGTGCTGAGGATCGAACCCAGCGCCTCACACATGCCAGGCAGGCGCTGTACCACTGAGCTACATAACCCCAACCCCAAGATTCCCATTCTTTTGGTAGTGAAAAGTTACAATGTCCTGGGATGAAGAGACCAAGCTGCCCAGTGTAGGGTGCTGGAATTTCTCACTCAGTGCAAAGGAACCAATAGCCACTGAAATGTTTGGGTCTGGTGATGGCTTTATTGTGTTGTTATCATCATATCCCAGTGAGTTAATATCTTTTGGAGTATTTATTTTAACGAATCTACCACAAAGAATATTTGAGTCTTATTACTGTATGTAATCATTCCATTTAAAGTGTTGATCCTATTTGGACATATCAAAAGTTAAATATATTGCATGTTTATTATATGTTTATGTAGTATACGTTTTGTTATATTGTATTAGACATTGACAATCTAAGGAAAAAACAAAACCTGTAGTTGAAATAGCATTTTCACTAGTTCACCAAACTCATTGGTTGAAAAAAAGGTAATTTCTCACTTGTTTGATGAAGATCTACACTGCTTTGTCATTTTAACAAAGCAATTGATCAAACAGTTTTAAAAATTAATGAACATTGGAGATAGGGGAACTTTAATTTTACATATTTTCTGGGTCAAATTTCTTTCGAGAAGCATATTTAAGTTTTGGGGTTCTTTAAATGCTCAAAAGATAGTTTTATGCAATTAAAACAGTGGTTATGTTGTGATTGTAAAGGGTGAGATAGGAGGCAGACCCAATTACATAAATCTTCAACCTCTATCTGTCTCACCTGCAAAAGGATATCTATTCTACATTCTTCAAATTACTGTCTATTATTGTGGTTACATAATACACTAATTCAAAATATTAAGTAAATTGGTTATTTCTCAAATGGACCCTTCTCTTAATTGCAAAAAAATATCCCTAGGAAAGTTTAGAGGGATTAGAAGCCAAATACTAACATCTGGTATGTAATATTGATTCATAAATTTATTATTGCTCTAAGAGCAAATATTAGGTTTTAATTTCATTAAATTCTAAATGACCCAGTAATTTTAAATTTCAAAGGCTATGTTTTTAATTTAGGTCCTTCAAACATGATGTGAGGGGAAATGCCCGAGCCATGATGAAACTGATGAACAGTGCTGAAGTCGCAAAACATTCTTTGTCAACCTTAGGAAGTGCCAATTGTTTCCTTGACTCCTTATATGAAGGTCAAGATTTTGATTGCAATGTGTCTAGGTAAAACTGAAGTTCAAAAAACTTTAATAAATCATTCCAAGAGCATTTTATGTGGGTATGATTTTCTCACCTTAAACTTTTTTGTTTATTTTTTTATTTTTTTGGTACTCAGGATTGAACTCAGGGGCACTTGACCACTGAGCCATATCCCAACTCTATGTGGAGCGTCTCCTGTTTCAATATTACTTAATAGTAAGCATTGTATAGCAAGCTGTATTTTAAATATTTGGATTAACTAGTTGAATCCTCATATCAGCCCTAAGAGATAGATACTGTTATCTTTCTCATTTTACACATGGGAAAGCAGAAACAGGTTTCATTACTTGCCCAAGGTGTGATACAGTTAGGAAGTGATGGGCCTGGGATTCAATCCAGGTACTTTGAGTCTAAAATTTAGCTCTTCAACTGTTAACACAGTAGTAAAGATTGATGTCTCTCTTGTTTTTGTTTACTCTGCCCATCATCATTAGTATTTTATATCTTTTATTTTTCACTCTGTACTGGTGATTGAACCTAGGGCCTCACACATGCTAGGCAAGAACTCTACCACTAAACTACACCCCTAGCCCTAGTATTTTACATTTTAATAGCTTTTATGATACTTAGTGAGTATAGATTTAGTGTACATAAAACAGTTTTTAATAGCCATATCTTTTACATAATCTAAGACATTGTCTATAAGTGATTGCATTGTACTTTGGACATTGCCCCAGTCTTTCATATCGAGTGTTTATTAATAGTAATAATAGCCATCTTTAGTTAGCCTATTGAAATCTCCCAAAAATTTGGCAGGTGACTTTCAAACATAGTAAAGCCTTGAAGTGTTGCTGCATTGTATAATTTTTAGGATTCTACTCACTATGTTTGTTTACCTTCTTTTTCTATCTCTTTTTCCTAATTGAGTTTTAGTGCTGCCTAATACAATAGCCACTAACCACCCATGGCTATTTAATTTAATCAGGAAAAGAATAACATTAAAAATGCAGTTCTTTGGTACCACTAGCTACAGTTCGAGTACTTAGTAGTGCTATGTGGTTAGTGATTAGCTGAATGTTCTGTTGGGCAGCACTGTTCTAGGGTAAAAACACATTTTAAGCCATGCCCCCAAATACAGAGACGGTGTTAATTAAATTGAATAGATACTTCTTTGTGGGTAGATTATCTATTTTCAGGATGCCCTGAAATTAAATTTGTCAAAGTACTCAGTATGTGTTTGCTTATTAATATCAGCAATTAATTAAGAAGAGGGAATTTATAACTTTTCATTAAGTAAATTAAGTTCTTAGAGTATGTTTAATATCTGTACATAACACGAGTTTTAAAATCATTCATCTACAATTAAGAAGTTCAGTATGAGATTATGGAGTATATTTTCATGAACATGAATCTTTTTAAAAATTTTATTATACACTAGTATTCAAATTTCTTAGTGCATAAGGACTGAGGTACAACTGAGAGTATAATGAAAAATAATAAATAATTTTAATGCTTTAACATATAAAAGTAGCAAAAATTTCCTAATGATGGTTTGATTAGGGTCAATAGGCTTATTGTTGTGAATGCTCCAATTTGGGTATTTATTCTTAGATTTTTTTTTTTTTTTTGAAAGCTTATAAATAGACCATAGGCATGAGAGCTTCCCACCTGGATTTGATATTAAATATTTTTATAAACATCTAGATGAATAACTTAAATTGACACACACCCATGACATTGCACTGTTTAATAAATACCCTACTCTGATTGTAAACCTATCATTCCAAAACTATCACATTAAATTTTGGCATTGTTCTTTACAAAAAAGTAAGTTTGATTATACTAAGCCTTTACTTTTTGTGTTTTTCTTCTCTATGTGTGTGTTCACATGTGTACTCATGTACAGAGCAAGATTTGAGCTTCTTTGTTCTCCTCTTTTTAATAAATGTATAGAAGCAATACGAGAACTCTTAGATCAAAGTGGATTTACAGCAGATGATATCAACAAGGTAATGCATTTATATTTTATTTTTGGAATAGTTTCAGATTTGAAATTTAGAAAATAGCTCTTGGTACAGAAAAGTATTTTTATGCTTGTACTTTCAGAGTTTTTATTAATGAATAAGTAAGCTTTGTTGAACTTTGATTAATGACTCGTGATCTCTAATTATGGAGATAGATTATATATATCTATATCAATTTTCTATATATATGTATATATTTTTCCCCTTCCAGTTTCCCAGAAAGGAATAATTCCTTTCTAGTATACTTTTTTTGAAAGTATGCTATGTGCCTGGCACTGTTTTTAAGTACTTTATATACATTAACTTGTTGACTACTTACCAACAACTCTGTGAGGAAGGCTCTGTTATATATCCCCATTTTATAAGTGGAGGCACTGAGGTACAGAAATTGAGTGACTTGCTGATGCAGTTAGTAAGTAGTAGAGCCAAGATTTTTCATTCCTGAGCCTGCCCTTAAATTATACACCATACCACATCTGTTTATTTGCTTAGGAAAGAATTTTGATATTCTCAAAAGCGTTCAGGTTGTTTAGTTTTATTTTTTCCCCCAAATTATTTCTATCCATTGATAATTTTTTATAAACTTAAAATGTTTTTTAATAATTTCATTATTAAAGTAACAATTATTCATATAAGAAAATTCAGAAAATACCAAAATCCAACCCATATTATATTACAAAATATTTTGAATTTGTGTGTATTCAAGTTTGTTTGCTAGCCATGGTTTTTGGGTTTTTTTTTTTAATAATAGTTCAAATTTTGTACGTACAATAATACAGTCAGTTTCTTTCTCCGTATGACTGTATAATTCTCATAAACACATTTTGAAATAGGTTGTTAATATCCTAAGAAAGGAAAGGCACCATGAATTGTCTTACTGTTGTTTTGTGGACACGTAGGTTGTGACTTTTCCTCCCCTGTTGATGCCTTTGGACACAGGCCTGTACCATATTTGATATTATCTCTTCCAGTAGATTCTTACAGTAAAATTACTGGGTCAAAAGTATAAATAGTTCAAGACTATTTTTACCTCAAATTACTTTCTAAGAGACTTGAATTAACTATTCATGCAACTCTGTAACCTTGATGACACTAAACTTTATCATTTAAAGATAAATTTCCAGTTGCTTGTTGAAATAAAAAAGGTATCTATTTTGTTAATTACTAGATTATTATTATTACTATTTTGGGTACCAGGGATTGAATTTAGGGGCTCTTGGCCACTGAGCCACATCCCCAGCCCTATTTTGTATTTTATTTAGAGACAGGGTCTCACTGAGTTGCTTAGTGCCTCACTTTTGCTGAGGCTGGCTTTGAACTTGAAATCCTCCTGCCTCAGCCTCCTGAGCCTCTGGGATTACAGGTGTACACTACTGCTCCCGGCTAATTGCTAGATTAGTTTTTAAATGTTTATTTGATTTTGTATCTCCTTGTGTATAAAATTCATTTTATATTCTTAATCTAATTTAGTTTAAATCATAATACTTTTAAAAACATTGGGTGGATATTTTATATAGTCAAGAGTTTTAACTATCATTTATTATAATCTTCTTTTGAGACATGTTCCTTACTGTTTAATTTTGACTCTGTTATGGAAAAGAATATTTGAAATACAGAAATTTCATTTGTCAGTTTAAATCTATTGATCTATTACTCTGATTTCTTCAGCTGCTTTGTTTTACTGTATGATAAACAATAATACTATTTTAACTTGTCTATAGTTTGAAAGTTTTTATATTTTTAGCTTTTTTGGTGAATTCTATATGATGGAAATTTCTAACTGGTTTCTGCAAATCAGTTCAATAAGTTTTGGGGACTGTTTTGACACTTATAATATCCCAAGCATTGTACTAGTTGCTTAAAGGCTAACGATGGGTGACAGGAGAGAAGCATGAGAATAATAGTATAAGACAGCAGTGGAGAAGATGTGGCCTTAGACATCACCTGCCTGAACTGGAGTCCTCCAGTTCTGATAGTTCTGGATTAGGCAAATCACTTTATTTCCTGAGGCCTTTATTTCTTATAAGAGAGTAGTAATACTTTAGAAGTAAGTAGTATAACTTATTATATAGGATTATTACAAGAAATAAACAATATCATTTATAGTACAGTGTGGGGCATACTGATCAATTAGTGTCAGTTGTCTTCCTAGGACTAAGAACATTGTTAAAGATCCCCTCTCTGGGTATTTCTAAAAACAGGCTTTTGAGAATTTAAAAACATGAAATTGTGTCTCTAGTTTGTTTACTTTTCTATAATAACTAAACAGCCCTCAATTTTTGTGGTTTTCTAGAGCAAACTTTTTTTTTTTTCTTACTTGGGTTGCGTGTGGCAGGTGGCCGGAAGTCTGCTGCCATGGTTCTGTTCCCTTTGCTGCTCAATCTCAGCTCTAGGATATAGGAGCAGCTATCTGGGACATGCAGTTCTCATGGGAAAGGGCAGGAGGGACAACACTTAAGAACACACACTATTTTTAAAGCTTTTCTTTAGATATGTATGACAGTGCGTTCATATTCAATATCATGGCTAGGCCTGACAGGCAGGCAGGGAAGTATCCCCTACCTACAAAGTCAGGTAATAGGCAGGGATGGATAATCCTCTTACAGCAAAGGGTAATGAGTGATTGGGCTTCACATGCACTAAAACATTTAATCTTCACAAAAGCACCAGGATGTAGGAACTAGTTATCTGCATTTTCAGATGTGGAAACTAAGGTTTCCCCAGAGGCTAAGCAGTTAGCTCACAGCTATAAGGCTAGCATGTCAGGACTGAAATTCAGGCAGTCTGCCTCTAGAAGTTGTGTTCTTGATGCTTGTGCCCATTGCCGGCTAGTTTTAGTATTTATAGATGTAGTCTTAGGAACGATTATTTTTTCCAGAAGGAATCCTTTGTTCTCTTGCTTCAGAAGAACGGGTTTGATTTCTGGCCTGAGGACAGAGAGCATCAGGGTTGAATATTCTCTTGAATATGCACTTTCCCTTCTTCCCCATGTTTTCAGCACCTTGCGACTCCCCTGCTAGCTGCTCTACATTTGTTTCTAAGTTCCCATAACTATGGAATAATGTGCTGCCACCTATCTGAGTCAGGGGAGAGATCTTAGGGGTCCAGTCACTCCATGTGAAAACAACCCCAGCCCTGTGTTTGATTCTGTGCTCTGCCCTTGGTTTTGGTGGATACTTCTGAGCACCAGTCCACTCTGAATGATGAGTTGAACCACCCTGCTTCTCTCAGGTTATTTTCAACTTCATCTGCTTTAAAATAATTACCTCTTCCCTTTCAGCTTCCAAAATTTGTTGAAATCTCTAACTCAAGCTCTTTCTTTCTTTGCCCTTCTACTTTTATACCTTCTTACTGTCAGATTAGTAGGCTTATGGAAGGGTGCATAGAAAAATGGGTGTGGTTAGGGGCTGGGGATGTGGCTCAAGCGGTAGCGTGTTCACCTGGCATGCGTGCAGCCCGGGTTCCATCCTCAGCACCACATACAAACAAAGATGTTGTGTCCGCCGAAAACTAAAAAATAAATAAATAAATATTTAAAAAAATTCTCTCTCTCTCTCACTCTCAAAAAAAAAAAAAAAAATGGATGTGGTTAATCCCTGCATTTTATGAAAAAAGCTCCCAGATTCTACAACTGCAATTTTAATAGCTCCATAGGATTTTGTTGCATTGATGTTACCATAGTTTAAAAACTAATTCTTTATATTAGCTATGTAGGTTATTTTAGTTTTATATTTTATAAATGGCAGTCTTTGCGACTTTGTGATCATTCTAATTTCCTTGAAATAAAATTTAGCATAAAATTTCAGATGTTAAGACTTCTAATATTTGTTATCAAATTGCTCACCAAAAAGCAGTTTACTTTTTGAGTAGATGTGAACCTTCATTATTAATTATTATTTTCATTTTTAAATTCTCTATTTTTCTTTATCTTCCATTTTGCCATTTTGTGAACTCTTTGGATTGATGATTTTTAATGGAACCTTCTGGATTTTCTGGGCATACATTCAAATTTATTTACTAATTAACCCGCAAGTAATTATTGAGCATACTTATTTTATGCTAGACAGGTTCTGGACACCTGGGATACAGTAGTAAATGTAACAAAGTCATTGCCCTTTTAGAACTGATATTCTACTTAGGATATAAAGTTAATAAATAAACAGCTGAGAAAATAATGCCTCCAGTTTTGATAAGTATTACAAAAAAAGATGAAGCAGGATAAGGCTCTACCTAGTGACAAAGTGTATTATTTCAGGTCAGATTCCCAGAACAAGCCATGTGAATGTCTGCCAGTGTCCCAGGCAGAGGAACAGCAGGTTGAGAGCATGTGTGGTGTGTTTAAGGAGCAGCAGGAGGTAGTGTGGGTGGAAGAGAATAACTGAACAGGGAGAGTGGGGATTGCTGAACCTGGCAAGGAAGTAGGGAGCACAACACCAGAAGAACTTGGGCAATAGCTTGAAGAGTACATTGTCGTCTGCATTTAGGGAAAGAGGTCTGGGCTTGAGGTATGCATTTGTCAGCACATGCTACTTAGAGCCACCAAGCAGAATGAGATCACCTGCAGAGCAAGCAGAACCACATTAGAGGAGAGACCCCAAGACAGAGCCCCAGGCCTGAGATTAGTTAATAGACAGAAGAGGATCAGCACAGGGGATTTAGGACTAGTCTGCTAGGGAAGAAGAGAATCAGCAAGTAAGGGAGGGAAAGAGCAACTGTTCTGTGCAGGCAGGTGAGACCTGGTGGTTGATTATTGGGCTTGGCAATATGGGATGACTGGCTATAAGAGCAGTTGTAGTAGAGCTGTGCAGATAAATTCCTTCCTAATGTGAGTTTACTATAGAATAGAAGGTATTCTGTGGAGATAATGAATATTGGAGTCTCTCTTGAGAAGCTGCCATTATAAGGGCAGCAGGAACATGTGGTAGGCTAGGGGTGTCAGGAAAGGCTGAATCTCTCTCCATTTTGTTGACTTTATTTCTGTTTTATATTTAATCACTGTGATCAGAATGTAAGTCCTTTTGTTGATACTGGACATACTCCTTTTGTTCTTTTTATTAGGGGCATGCTATTAATCTTTTATCAGCAAATATGATTCCTGGTAACTATTTTGAAATAGATTTTCTTTATCTAATGAAGATAGAATTTCCTGGTGAGCATGGTGATACATGCCTGTAATGCCAGCCAGGCCAAGGGAGGAGTATCAAAAGTCCATGGCCAGTCTCAACAACTTATTGAGAACCTGTCTCAAAAAAAATGAAAGGGTGTGGGGATGTAGCTTAGGGGTAAAGTACCTTGGAGTTCTATTCCCAGTAGGGGCTGGAGGGTGGGTGGGAAGGACATTTCCTTTTTTCCTATTTTTAAAAGAGTTTTAATATGAAATAGGTATAGAGTTTTCACAAATGTATTTTTGGACACCATAATACATGGTTTTCTTTCCATTTGTCTTAAAGCTATGTGATGAATTATTTTGTTATTTAAATTTCTGTGATGATTTCTAATTTTCACAAAATTTATGCTAAGTTAGCAAAAAGATAACCCATTTCAGAAGTCTCTATCTTATCCTTATTGTCTGAACAAAATGGCCCCTTTTAACATATGGTTCAAAGAATAGTTGTCCTGTGGTGGTGGGGGGGCTCTGCTTTTTAATTGTTCTATTCTAAGAAAGTGCTGGAATTGCTCAGCTCTTGTGCATGGCCTCACCCCTGGATGAGGAGCTATCAGTGGCTTTTTTTGATCCATCTACTCAACAGTTGATCCCAAGTCTGACACATATGGACAGTCAGAGACATATGGCTGAGCTTCAAGGAGACTGCAACCTGGGCTTGGTCCTTTTCTAATGTTTTCTCTCCCCTTCTTTCTTCTACACATATATTGTGATCTGTGCATCAGTGTTCAGCCTCTTCTAAGGTTACGATACTATATGCAGAGACTGTACTTCCCTCTTTTTGCTCTCTGTCTTTGGAAAAAAAGTCATGAGACCCTCAAAGAAATAGGGGGTTTAATCCATTTTGACTCAAGTGCTTGAACTTACTCAGAAGGACAAAATATTATAATATATGATTTTTTTTTTTTACTCAATACCTCTAAGCCAAAACATCCACACTTTTACTTTTCTTTTTTTGATCCATTTTGCATTTTTTAACTTGAAATTTAAAACATGACCTCCATTATCAGGCAATTATATTTTTACCCTTTTATACCCAGTTGAGTTGGTAGTTCTTGGCAGTTTTTTTTCTTCCTACACCCAAAAACTGAATTCACTTTCATGCCTGAGACCTATAAAATACTTGAGCTAGTGATGTCTTTCATGTGCATTTTCTTTAAGAATAACCAGAATAACCTCTGATAATTGTTATTTTCCTTTTTTTTTTTTTAAGGTACCAGGGCTTGAACCCAGGGCTGTTTTACCACTGAGCTACATCCCCATCTCTTTTTATTTTGAGATAGGTTTCACTAAGTAGCTTAGGACTTCACTGAGTTGCTGAAGCTGGCCTCAAACTTGTGATCCCACTGCCTCAGCCTCCCAAGTTCATGGAATTATAAGTGTGCAGTACTATGTTTTTTATCTCCTTGTTTTTTATCTTCCAGTTTTAAAATTTCCAATTAGTTAAGTCCTGCCCACCCCACCCCAAAACTCATATGTTGAAGCCATAGTCCTCAGCTCATCTCCTATTGGAGATGGTACCTTTAAAGAAGTAGCTAAGGTCATATGTGGTCATGGTGAGGGCCCTATTCCAATAAAATTCCATGTCCTTATATGAAGGGACAACCAGAAAGCTGGTTCTTTCTCTTCCTTCCTCTCTCCCTTGGGAAACAAAAAAGAAGTCATGGTGGCCACAAACAAGCCAAGTGAAATACTCAAAATGAAACCTACCTTGCCTTGATCTTGTACTATGAAATGTCTATTGTTTAAGCCATCCAGTCTGTGGTATGCTGTTAAAGGCAGCTTGAGCAGAGTAATACAGGTGGTTTGAATTTTTTTTTTTTTTTTTTTTTTTTTTTGGTACTGGGGATTGAACCCAGGAGTGTTTAACCACTGAGCCACACCCCTAGCCCTTTTTATTTTTTTATATTTTATTTTTTATTGTCGTAGATGGATATGACACCTTTATTTTATTTATTTATTATTATGTGGTGCTGAGTATCAAACCCAGGGCCTCACATGTGTGTTAGGCAAGCACTGTACCATTGAGCTGCAACTCCAGCCCTTATTTTTTATTTTGAGACAGGGTCTTGCTCAGTTGCTTAGAGCCTTGCTAAGTTGCTGAGGCTGACTCTGAACTTGTGATCCTCCTGCCTTAGTCTCCTAAGCCGCTGGGAGTATAGGGATGTGCCACTATGCCTGGGGTTTTTTTTTAAACCTCTGTTTTATTTTATGAAATATTGCAGAAATTGTATTTGAAAAGCCTTTGATAAGAATAGTTAACTATATTTGAAATTCATGTTTTTCTATTATAATTTAAATTTTCAGAAATCTCATTGTAGACTAAATGCTTAAATAATTTATTTAAATTAAAACGTATTGGTTACTGTTAACATTAAGAGTATCACACTTTTCATCCCCCCCCCAAAAAAAAACCAAAACCCCAAAATTTCCTGGGTTATTTAAAAAAAAAATAGAGCTAATGTTTTGTTAATATAGCTTTTGGATGTTGAATTTGAGAAATTTGCAAAGCCATATTTTTTTATTCTCATGGTATTTACCTGGGGTCCTAAAATTTTAGAAAGGACTTTTTGTTTTTTTTTAAGCCTAGAAAATAGACCTTTTGTGGTTTCTTGCCAAGGCAAACATACTTTTTTTTTTTTTTTAAATGCTTCAGCTGATGTTACTCATCCCTCACCTGAAGATTAATGTGGTAACTCTTATTTCATTCACATGACACGTTAATGAGTCCTAGTTCTCATTAGTTGTTCTTCTCTGCCACACATTGGACTTTGAGACCGTTAAGACTATAAAATAAGAAGTGTTTATTGATGATTTCCCTGCCTGGGTATTCATTCATTCATTCATTCAATATTCCGAATCCCATGGAGTCATAAGTGCTGAATGAGTGGGGAATGTAGATGATTTATAAGGAGCAGTTTTACATTAAGTTCTTCAGAAATAAGAAATCTAATCAGATAGGACTAAGAGCTTAAAATATGGTTTTGTAAAAATACAAAACATCTCTTTTTTTCCTTAAGACAATATTTTTCCATGGTGAAGTCAGATAGCATGGCACTATTTTGTCACAAGAATGATGTCGTATTTATTCATATATTTCTTTAAAAGATGTTGGAACAGTACAAAATATTAACATCTTATTCAAGTGTCTATTTGTTGTTAAGCCTTAGGTGCAGAGTATTAATCATGAACCACATATATACTGCTGAACTGTATTTTATGCATTTTTTGAGTAAAGAATATGTTAATTATATATGAAATGTTAGATTTAGATATTTATGTATTAAGCATGACAATATGTTAAATGCATGGTTTTTTTAATTATGTATGGTTATGATGGCTCAGCCCATTACATTTGATTTTGAGAAACAATCATTCTTGTAAAAGTAAAGAATTGAAAATTATTTTCTTTTTCTAGATTGTCCTTTGTGGAGGGGCTTCTCGAATGCCAAGGCTACAGCAACTGATTAAAGATCTTTTCCCAGCTGTTGACCTTCTCAATTCTATCCCTCCTGATGAGGTCATCCCTATTGGTGCAGCTATAGAAGCAGGAATTCTTATTGGGAAAGAAAATGTATTAATGGAAGACTCTCTAATGATAGAGTGTTCGGCCAAAGATATTTTAGTTAAGGTATGTGTAGCTTTTCTGTGCATTCACACAAATTAATTAACATAAGTTTTCATATACACCATGATTTTACAATAAAACTTTGTTATACTGGTAAAGATTTTAAATTTAGGTTTATAGTTTTATTTTTAATAAGTTTCTTATATTCTTTTAGTTTAATATTTATCTAGCAGGTTGATTTCTTTGGAAAGTGAAATAATCATAAGCTTCTAATATTTCTTTTTTTTAATATTTATTTTTCAATTGTAGTTGGACATAATGCCTTTACCTTAGTTATTTATTTATTTATTTATTTATTTTTATGTGGTGCTGAGGATTGAACCCAGGGCATGCTAGGCACATGCTCTACCGCTGAGCCATAACCCCAACCCCAAGCTTCTAATATTTCCATGTATTTTTTAAACAAAGTGGGATGGAATTAATTTATATTTTTCTCATCTTTTCCTAGTTTCCACATTTTCAACAAAGAATATGTATTTTATTTATAATAGAAGTTTTTCTCATCTAAATATCAAAAGGTATGCATCTTATTTTCCTGCTTACAGGGAGTGGATGAGTCAGGAGCCAACAGATTCACGGTACTCTTTCCATCAGGGACTCCTTTGCCAGCTCGAAGACAACACACATTACAAGCCCCTGGAGATATATCTTCTGTATGCCTCGAACTCTATGAGTCTGAGGGGAAGAACTGTGCAAAAGAGGAATCCAAGTTTGCCCAGGTGAATACATAAAATTAGACTGTGACTTAGTCACATGCAACTGTTCAGCTTTTCCTTCTGGATTAGATTCAGTTTAATATCTCAATTAATACAAAAATTACATAGGATATCTAACCCTTGTTTATGAATGAATTACTTCTACTTAATTCATTTTTAGGTGAAGGAAGAAATAGTGATTTTAATTTGAAAGTTTGGAAAAATAAAAACAAAATGCAGTTTGTATTTTTACTGCTTCTCTGTTCATGCTCTTGGCTCACCTTGGTATTAGGTACTAGAAGAGGAAAAGAACACTTTTTTGCTTGCTCATTGCACCTGGCAATCCATTCATAAACAAGTGTTAGGTGTCCTACGTCCTGTGGTTACAAAGTGCACCCCTCTTGTAATCCCAGCAACTCAGGAGGCTGAGGCAGGAAGATGGCAAGTTCAAAGCCAGCCTTAGCCTCAGCAACTTAGTGAAACCCTGTCTTTTTTTTTTTTTATTTTTTAGTATTTGGCGGACACAACATCTTTGTTTGTATGTGGTGCTGAGGATCGAACCCGGGCCGCACGCATGCCAGGCTAGCGTGCTACCGCTTGAGCCACATCCCCAGCCCCGAAACCCTGTCTTAAAATAAAAGAGTTGGGGATGTGTCTGAATGGTAAGCCCTCCTGGGTTCACTTCCTGGTACTAAATAAATAATGGAAAAAGTATGTATAGCATACCTGGGCTGCACCTCAGACTTACCAATTTGGCATCTGCTGGTTAAGTTTTCAAAGCTCCTTTGATAATTCTGCTGTGTAGATAGAAGCACTTTCCTATGCACTAGGTCTCTAATCTCTGATGATACTTTTAGTATCCCCCTTAGGGGCGCTCTCTCACTCCTACCTTTCCTTTAAAACCAACTGGAGACTCCACAGCTGCTGTCACTATCTAACTTAAAGATGCTAGATGGAGAAGTATTGGTCAGTAACACTGATCTTGGAAGATAATCTTTCAGTATTTCCATCTGTTCTAATCTTTTCTTTTTACAAATGAGTAAAACAAGGTAGTGACTTACTTTGGTCATTATACTTGATCTTGGCAAAGTCTGACAAGTAGCTCAGTGGCAGAGCACTTGCCTTGCAAGCATGGGGCACTGGGTTCAATCCTCAGCACCGCATAAAAAATAAATAAAGATATTGTGTCCATCTACAACTAAAAAAAATTTTTAAAAATAGTACTCTGTATTTTCTGAGATAAACTACTTCTTATAAACAGTCATTTTAATCTAGATACTAAAGAGGGACAAATACATTAGGTGTTTTATATGTTCTCCATCCCAAGTATACACTTCCAGTAATAAAGCTTAACTATTATTCTTTGAATTCTGTTTAAATGTTAGGAGAATTGGAAACTGCCCTATTTTAAAAGGTTTGTTTCAGTAAAAAGTAAAATTTGTCCTTTGTAATAATTGGTGCATATGTCAAAGTTTTGAATCATCTTTGTCTTATTTTTTGCATAAACAGGTTGTACTCCAGGATTTAGATAAAAAAGAGAATGGATTACGTGATATATTAGCTGTTCTTACTATGAAAAGGTACAAAATTAGACTCCTTCTAATGTTAAGACAATTCATTTTGAAACTTGACCCCTTTTGTGAGTTTATTGATTTTTTTCAACCATTGTCATTCTAGGCAAATCATTTATTAAAAACTTAGAAAGATTTTTGTCAGTTAATCACATTTTTCACCTTGAAAACTTACTGTATTTTACAGAGAAGAGCTTATCTCAAGACATTGGTTTGCATTATGAATATTTTATGAATTCTTTAAGTGTAGTCAGTGTAAATATTTAATCTGTGATAATTGGAGATATAATTTTTTATCAATTTTCAATGTAATTTTCTAAGGTTTATATCTTGACATTCTTTGCCCTATGAATGGGTAAGTATGTTTCATTATTGCTATAGTAAAGCTCTAGGAAAGAAATTACTAATTAAATTTAGCTGAAGACACTAAAATTGTGTTTATTCTTAATAATCCTCTTTTAAAAATTTAAATTAAGTCTTATTTACTCCACGTCCTCAAGTAACTTCTTAAGGACTTTCTGTTTTTATAAAATGAGCTTTTAAAATGTTATTCATTTTTTGTTTGTTTAGGGATGGATCTTTACATGTGACGTGCACAGATCAAGAGACTGGAAAATGTGAAGCGATCACTATTGAGGTTGCATCTTAATGTTTTAGATAACCCAAGCCTTTTTTAGAACTAGAATATCAATATTACTTGGTTTTGTGTATAAGCAATGTTTTTATTAAAATACTTTTCCAATAAACATATGTCGTGTTTATTAAATTAAAATATGTTGCAGTCTTTTTGTTTTATTTTTCATGTAAGATAAGCCAGTATTAGTGGTAAATAGAGGATTTTTGATCATGAGGCTCTTTATAATTAAACTAAGTTGGCTGAAGGAAATTTTATTGGAAATTTTGCATGATGTTTTAAAAATTTTTATTCTTATATAACTTCCAAATTTAAAAGGGTTTTATTGATTTTTGATAGATAATTAATAATTAAAAGTCCTTTATATTAATTGAAAAAATTCAAGAAACATATGCAAAGTTAAGATACCAATCTGGGCACGTAGTACATTGGTTCAGCTCATGAGATCTTGAGTTCAGTCTCCAGCACCAATAAGTAATAAAGTTGAGGCTGTTTTGTTGTGGTGGTGTTTTTTGTTTTTAACAGTACTCAATATCAAATCCAGGGCCTTGCAAGACATCACTTTTGTTAAAAAAGTAAACTCAACAGTTGTGTATCAGTGTGCAGTGTGTGTGTACATGCATACCACATGTGCGTACATACATAGAAAAGAAGTCTAGAAGGCTAAAGACCAAATATTGTAGCTTTGATAGAGAGAAATATGGGAAGGGTTTTTATCTTTCTTTGTTAAAATTTGTTAATTTTTTCCCCTCCAACAAACATCTTTTTCTTCTGAAATTAAAATATTAATATCACCTTTTTGATATCTCATCTTAATATATCCTTCAAGTCAGTCAATGCATCTTTTGCATATTTTATGGCTTAGGCATACAATAGAAAAGGACAGGAATACCACTGCTTCTGACTTGACTTGTCACTTTGCATGGTTTATTTTGCCTCCAGACATGTCAACTTTCTAATTGTTATCAATAAGTATTCTGACGCATTATGAAATACTTTCAAATTTCCTTGCACCTCAGGTGATAATTTTTTATTCTGAATTTGTGAAAGATATGCCAACTAGATTTTCTAATGGTTTTTAAAAAAAATTTAAGGTGAAAATAGCTTTAACTTTTCTCTCTGTAAAAATGTATTGATATGTATTTATTACAAAATTAATATTAAAAACTAGAAGAACGCAAAACATCTTGTATTCCACCACCCATGAATTTCCCACTTATCTCTGCTTTGTCATGTATATTTAAATACTTGAACACTTGTTAGCAAAAGTTTATGTCTAATTATAATGTTGCCTGTTTGCATGTCTGATGTCTGGAGGAGAGAACCAACTATAAAAATGAAATGACTAACTATAATGGTGAAGTTGTTGGGAGCTGTTGTGATATGAGCTGCTATAATCCATAGCATAACCCTAGACTGGGTGGCCTATGCACAGCAGAAAATTATTTCTCACATTCTGGAGTATGGAAGTCTGAGATTAGGGTGCTGGCATCTTCGGGTTCTGGGAGGGTTTCCTTTTTTGGGTTGCAAACCATTGACATACCCAAACATGAAGGACAGAAGGCAAGAGAATTCCCATGGTCTCTTAAAATGCTAACCCCACTCATGAGGACTCTAGCCAGCATGACCAAAACACCTCTCAAAGGCCTGCTTCCTAATGCCAACACATAGGGGTCTGGATTTCAACATTTGATTTTGAGATAGGGAACACAAATGTTCACTTCATAAAAGAAGGCCATAAAATGTTCCATTATGAGCTGGCAGCTTTTACATATGTAAGAATTCCTAATAAAGTAACAGAGAACAAAACAAGTTCTACAGACATCTAAAATGACAATGAGTTACCACGGTAACATTTACACACTGCATATACTATGATTTACTTGCTTTAATAATCTCATTTAAAATTTTGATCTTGCCATAGCTTCATGATATGTAGAGTAATATGGGGAATGTTATTTGTTTTCTAGATCTGAAATCGATTTAAAGAAATTATTCAATGTCTCATAGTAAATAAATGGTGAATTTTGAATTAATATTCACACACTAATATTTTAAACTTAATTTTTCTTGACTACTATTTTAAGTATATTAAATGCATTACTTTACTTAAATTCACATTTTTAATCCATTGTTCATTGTACTGTTTTAATCTGATCTCAGAGAACATTTACTAATTTGAAAGAGTATGGATCACCTGAAATCATGTTTTAAAGTGGTTTTTATGAAAAAGAAATTGGGACAGCAAGGTAATTTGTCTTTAAGACATCGGTATGTGACTCTCAGTTGCTTTTGATTTCCTTCTCTATTCCTTTATAGCTGGGATTTACGAAGAGTTTCAAACATTTTGGTCCCAGAACTTTTACACTTAAACATTTTTGAGATCAGACATATGTGGCTTGCACATATAGTCCCAGCTACTCGGGTGACTGAGAGGGAGAACCGCTTGTGGCCCCGAGTTTGGGACCAGCCTGGGCAATATAGAAAGACCTCATCTCAAAAAAATAAATAAATAAAAAAGAAAAGAAAATTTACTGAGATTCTGAGTTTTTGAACTTTTATTTATAATACCCTGAGAGATATGGAAAGAGATTTTATAAACATATTCATATGTATAGTTACATAACTATATACACTTATCTGCCATACCACTCAAGAGACTGAGACCAGAGGATCTCAAGTTCTCCGCCAGCCACAGCAACTTAGACCCTGGGGTTGTATGTAGTAAAGGGCCCCTAGGTTCCATTCATAGTAGCCCCCGCCTTCCTTAACTGTTAACATGAATAACAGTTTAATGAAAAATACCTGTCTAAAAAGTAGTGGCAACAGTGATGGTCTATATTTTTTCAAATCTCTTTATTTAATGTCTGGTTTAATAGAAGATAGCTATATTCTGATATCTGCTTTCTTCCATCAGTATTTTGCAATATCCAATTTGTGTAAACTCTGGAAAACTCCACTGTATACTTATGAGAGAAGGAAAATAAACAAGTCAGATAACATGTTGGTATCATTATGAAAACAGTCATGTGTCACTCTGACAAGGACACATTCTCAGAAATTCTTTGGCAATTTTAACATTGTGTGAACATCTTAGAGTACTTACACAAGTGAAGATGGCTACAATGTCAGTTAAACAATCACACAGGCAGGCTGGGGTTGTTGTGGCTTAGTGATAGAGTGCTTGTCTAGCATGTGTGACACACTGGATTAGATTCTCAGCGTTGCATAAACAAAGGTCATTGACAACTAAAAAAATATATTAAAAAAAAATCACACAGAACCAACATTGTGGCTGTGGTTGATTGTTATGTGGCGGTGACTATTTATGAGCTCTTGAGTCTCCTGGATCTTCCTACCATACCTTTAAAAATGGTTTTTCTAGATAGTAGACACAGTGGTGAATATTAAAGAGAAAATACCTACTCTGACCTGGAATTAAGGAGATTCAAGACTAGGGAAACAAAGGAAATTTGATTTACAAAATAATACAATATATTCATTCTGTATTTTTTTTTTGGTGTTGGATATGGAACAAGGGCTTCACACTTACTAGGCAATTGTTGTACCTCTAGAGTACACCCCCAGCCTAATTCTGTAAATTTTTACTAAAATTTATAAAGAACAAATAAAAAATACAGACAAGATAATTACAGATTTTGATAAGTGCTCTTAAGTATCTAAAGAAGAGATGAAGTGCTATGTCAAATAGGGTGAACATAGGAGGCCCTTCTGGAGAAGTGACTGAAACCCAAGTGATAAGATAGCCATATGAAGAAGGGGAGAAAAGTATACCTTAAACTAGGAAGTAATTTTGGGATGACAAATTATTTATTTACTTGTTTATTATCTGCCCCTCCCACTAAGAAACAGGCTCCATAAAAACCGTGTTTACCTTTTTTTTAATATTTATTTTTTAGTTTTAGGTAGACACAATATCTTTATTTTACATTTATGTGGTGCTGAGGATCGAACCCAGTGCCCCATGCGTGCTAGGCAAGCATGCTACCACTGAGCCACAACCCTAGCCCCAGTGTTTACCTTTTATGTCCATTGCTACATTCCCAGAACCAAGCAGGTGCATAGAACAGGAGATGCACAAAGAAAGATTTTTGAGAGAGAATTTTTTTTAATATATTTTTTTTTAGTTTTTGGCAGATACAACATCTTTGTTTGTATGTGGTGCTGAGGATAAAACCCGGGCCGCATGCATGCCAGACGAGCACGCTACCGCTTGAGCCACATCCCCAGCCCACACAAAGAAAGATTTCTGAATGAGTGTGTATGTGTGTAAAGGGGTGTCCCAGAGAAACTAAGGGGAGAGTGGAACAAAGTAAGGTTAGAGAACCAGTTCCAATCACAGGAGGCCCTGAGGCCACCAGTAGGTTTGAGTTTTATTCTAGTTGTATTGGGAAGTCTGTAAAGTAAGAAAGGGCTGTTCCACTTTGTTTCAGATCACTTTCACTGGATGTAAAGTGGATTGGGAGGGGAGCATAGTGGAACTGAAGCCAGTTTGGCTTTTAGAGGACTTCTGCTCAGGGCACTAGGTGGGTACTGTGGAGATAGTATTGACTCAACTAGCTAATGGGATTATAGACACTTCCTGACTTACGATGGTTCTAATGACAAGTTTTCACCTTTACAATAGTGTGAAAGTGATACTTATTCAGTAGAAACCCTATCCTACTTCAAATTTCGAATTTTGATCTTTTCCTAAGCTAGTGATAGGTGTATGTATAATACTTTTCAGGACTCTGGCAACAGCAGGACCTAACAGCTCCCAGTGAGCCACAAGATCATGAGGGTAAATTACCGTGTACCGTGTTGCTAAACCATGGTGTTTGGTAGGTTAAGTGTATTGAATGCATTTTTTACTTAATATGTTTTCAATATATAATGGGTTTATTGAGATATATAACCTGATCATAAGTTAAGGTACAACTGTGATTTTGAGAGTGAGGAGGGAGTGAATCACGATGACACCTAGATTCTCTTAACAATACCTGAATAACAGTGGTGCCAATGAATTGCTATGAGAAAGCCTGTGGAGCCTGGAGTAAAGGTAATGAGCTATGGCAGCAAAAATAATTTCAAATGGAATGTATTCAATTTGAAATTTATGTCACACCTGAGTGGACATGACCATTAAGCATTGTGGATATTCAAGTCTGGAAGTGAGGGCAGAGCTCAGCGCTAGAGACCAAAAGTTGGGAATCTGAAGCATAAAAATGATGTTTCAACCAGCCAGTGTAAGATTTCTCTGTCACCGTTAAGAGAAATGCGGTCCCACAGCCAAGTCCTGGGAGTGCCTAATGTTTGGGTTGGGTAGAGGAAGGCTAGCTGAAAAGGGGACAGCAGAGAATTCTGTGGAAAAAAGGAGGACTAAGAAAGAGGTTGAGTAGTGATGCGTACTCATGGTCTGCTATGAGATCACAGGAGGGGCACTGAGAACAACTGGGGAGCGCAGAAGGAAAGAAGGCCTTGGGAAGGAGAGGAGGCTTCATCCAAGTCTTAGAGGGTCTATAGAAGTATCTAGAAAAGTCCTTGTATGGGGCTTATAGGGCCTTTTATTCCTTCTTACCAAGGTAATGAGATACTCATACAAAACAGTTAAATAGCCAGGCATGGTGCTGTTTGTCTGTAATCCCATGGGCTCCGGAAGCTGAGGCAGGAGGATCCTGAGTTCAGAGCCAGCTCCAGCAATAGCAAGGTGCTAAGCAACTTAGTGACAACCTGTCTCTAAATAAAATAAAAAATAATGCTGGGAATGTGGCTCAGTGGTCAAGTACCCGAGTTCAATCCCTGGTACCGAAGGAAAAAAAAAAAAAAGGAAAAGAAAAACAGTTAAATTTGTAAAAATGAGCAATTAAACCAAATCAATTCATAAGGATATTATATTTTGTTATCTTTCTCTACACTTTTTTGGTACAAAGTTGAAAAGGCTGAATGTTTTCTCTGATATGTGGATGCTAATTCACAATAAGTAGTGGTGGTGAAGGTACTTTGGATTAGACAGAGGGGAGTGAAAGAAGGGAAGGGGGGGTATGGGGTAGGTATAATAGTAGAATAAATAGGACATTATTATCCTATGTGCATGTATGATTACACGACCCGTGTAACTCTACATCATGTACAACCAGAAGAATGAGAAGTTATACTCCCTTTATGTATGTTGTATCAAAATGCATCTGTCATGAATAACTAGAACAAAAAAAATTTTTTAAACATTAATATTAAAAACAATAAACATCTTCTCAGGTGGCTAAGCACCTGAGAAGTATTTCATAATAGAATGAGCATGTCTTTAGTGTTCTTCATTTATTTCCAATTTATAAATATCACGTTTTGAAAACTAATTTTTCACATGGATCTTTAAAAATCCTTGGTAGCTGTCAGATGGCTGTCTGCGAATTTTTCTCTTCTAAGATTTTTGCTTTATTTAGAATAATCACTATGGGTGCGGAGTGAAGAATGGATAGGATCAGGGTAGGAATGGGGTCGTCGAGGGTGTGGGACCAGTTTGGAGTTCCTGGAGTCATCCTGCAGTCTTGCTACCATAGTGTGGCACACCCAGGCTCCCCCAGCAGCATCAGATAGAGCTTGACAGAAATGCAGCAGCTCAGGTCCCATTCCAGACCTACTGAATTTGAATTTGCATTAAACCCAACCTCCTCAGATGATTCATATGTGAGCAGATCTGATCAAATCAGGTGTTCAAAATGTGCTGCACATTAGAACCACCTAGGGAACTTTCAAATAGATGCACACTGCCCTGGCCTCGTGCTACACTAATTAATCAGAATCTCTGCGAGTGGACTAAGCAGACAAAACCTCTCCTAATGATCCTAACATGCGACCAATTTTGAGACCTCGTGCTCCTGCAGGAAGGAAGGAAATGGGCTCAGCTGTGTGAAGTACCGACGTGAACCTTCTTCCCACCGTAAAGTCGCGCTGCACGTTCCGGACGTGTACCGTGCACGCAGTGCCTATATAAAGCGGCTCAAAAGCGCGGCGTGGGAAGGGCTGGCGGGTTTGTTCCCCAACCTAGGAGAGAATCGGGACTAGGAGGTAGGGCTCGGCTGCGCCTACCCGGCGCGGGGTTCACCCCGCCCCGCCTCACCCGGGCCGTGGGGCGCAGGCGCGCAGACCGCGGCGGCCGGGGTCGGCCTGTGTGACGTCAGGACGCCTCGCGGGTTCCAGGGCCCCAGTCCCGGCCCCCGAGTCCCGGGCGAGGGCGGGGCGTCGGGCCAGCTGAGCTATTCCGTCAGACCGCGCCAGTTTGAATGAATGTCCCACAAGATGGCGGCGGCCGAGGCCGAGGCGCGAGGAGGTGAGGCTGGAGCGCGGCCCCCGCCCTGCCGGTTCCCAGGCACGCTTCCGAAGCTGGGGCAGCCAGGCCGTCCCGCGGGGCAGCAGGACGGCGACGTGGCGGGACACCGCCCGCTGACACACTGACTCCAGAATGCGCGCAGCAGGCGCCTACTTGCCCCGCTGCCCGCGACCCTCCTCCCGCCCGGCCCGCAGTCCTCTGGGGCTCGCCATCCCGTACCGGGGGTGGGCGCCGCGCGAGCCCGGACGCACCGGTCAGCGGAGCGGCGAGCCCTGCGCCCTCGGCCCCCTCGCGTCGCCGCAGCGGTCCCCGAGGTCCCGGGCTCCAGGGCTCCAGGTGCCGTGGGCACGGCTGCGCGGAGCTCCTTTGTGGCGGTGGGAGCGGGGCGCGCGATGTGCACGCTGGCTTTTAAGTGGGAAGCGGGAAACCACAGTCGCCGGTGTGATGGTGACCTCGGTATCCGGGGTACGGGGGTGGGAAGAAATTGGGGCTGAAGTGTGGTAAGGGAGTGAGCGAGGCTCCCCACAGTGCGGACACGGGGGGTGGGTTCCATCGTTGGAGAATCTCCGTGAAAGCGGGCATTTGAGAATGCAACCCCGGGCTTTTTGTAACTTTCCTGCCCACCAGGATTTGCGTGTTATTTATGTGGACACTGAGAAATTAGCGTGCGTGCGTGTGTGTGCGTGTGCGTGCGTGCATGTGCTTGCATGTGTGTCGCGCGCCCTTTGAAAGCCTGGAACTTTGACTGCAGTCTGCAATTTAAAGGTGTTTCAAGTTCTGCTCCTTGCAGTTTGTGACATTATGAAACCTGAACTCTACTTCTTTTAAGAATGGCGGGGGTTTCTATAACTCGTGGAAGGATTTTTTTTTTTTTTTGGATGGCAATACAGTATTTATCTGGTCATCGAAATCCTTTTCTCCATTATTATAGGCTGCCATTCCCCTTTATAAATCAGTACTTTGCAGTTTTTTACGCTAATGTGTTTTTAAATTCTCAAATTCATAATGTCCATCGAGGTTTCTGTTTGGAATCCTCAAATGGGTATAAGTTTTCAGAAACAGGAGACAAACATGTTGTGTACATAACTAGTAGGAACCTCCTTTGTAAGTGATCAGCACAATGAGATGAACCTTACCCAAAACATCCTCAAGAGTTTTAAATGGAAATGAAGGGACAATTAATGTCTTTCTTCAAATTTGGTGGATTTTCCTTTTTGTTTGTTTTGTTTTGGGTGCTGGGGATTAAACCCGGGGGCACCTTATCACTGAGCTACATCCCCAGGCCTCTTTATGGTTTATTTTGAGACAGGATCTTGCTAACTTGCCCAGGCGCGTCTTGAATTTGGGATTCCCTGTCTCAACCTCCCGAGTAGCTGGGATTATAGGTGTGCACCACGGAGTCTTTTCCTTTGGGTTAGAATTATGAATTTTTGGCAGGGAGTGGTGAAAATTGTGCTGATTTCTGACAAGTCCCTCTGAGTTGGGGAGGGTGTGTCTTTAATTTTGAAAAAGTAAAGTTAGAGCAGCAGTGTTCTCTCTTCCCTGGAATTTACCTCAAAACACCAAAGGTTATGCTACTACCTTGGAGAGCTACCAAGTAAAGCTTGAGTTAGTGATAAATTTTGTTTGGTAACCCCAGTTTTCTCCACTTTCTGACACTTTTTTTTCACATTGACACAGAGAAAGATTGAGACTTCCCCAAAGTCATGTAGTTAGTTGCCCCACCAAGGGATAGGGGCAGAGGACTCTTGGTCCATCTAGTACTTACCACCATGGTAGCTATAAAACTGTTTAAATTTTTTTCTAAATATCAGTTTGTGTGATATTTTACATTCTTTGTGGTAGCATACTGTTTACAGAATTTGAAGGTAAAATCACATCACAATTAGTTTCTGGCTTCTGTAAAGTTGATTATGAGTATGTCTGATGCTCAGTTGGGTATGTGGATTTACACAAATTGAATACTTGATGCTTTCTGATGCTCAACTTTAAAAAATGCAGAAAATGAGTATCACAAACATCAGTATACTTTCCATTTATAGAATGTAATCCTTGGTTTTATTCATTCTGATAACACACCATGGGGCAAAATAATAAGTGGAGTTAAAATTTCATGTAATATTCCAGAGTGGGAAAAGTAGGACATATATATTTGTAATTATAGAACTTCAGTTAGAGTTCAGTTATTGTCCAATTAAAAGAAATGAAAGTTACTTTTTAACCAATTATAATTGCATTTTAAAATCTCTATTGGATACATTTCTAATCTTAGACATACTTATTTTCATTGTTTTATTAAAACAGCAATTAAAATTCTATGTAAACAGAAAAGTCATATATTACCTGTTAACGTTTGCATTTATGTGTGATCTTAAAGTTTACAGGCATGAAACATTTTGTTCATGGCTTAGCAGAAATTGATGTCAGTTAATCATGGTAGGATCGAAATCCATGAGAAAAATCCAAGAAGACCAGTTTGGCAAAATACTTCTTTAATGCTTTACTTGAAAACACTTAACTGGTTTCTTGTCATATGGATTTTTAGGCTATAAAATTGCCAGTTGAAGGGTGGGAATGTAGAGGTTTTAAGTTTCTCTTTTTTTGTTTTAATTGAGTAGCTATTTCATTGGTAAAGAATTCTATTTTCTTATTGTAGCTTGGTGTGTGCCTTGCCTAGTTTCACTTGATACTCTTCAGGAATATTGTAGAAAAGAAAAGCTCACATGTAAATCGATTGGAATCACCAAAAGGAATCTAAACAATTATGAGGTGGAATACTTGTGTGACTACAAGGTATTAAAGGTAAGGCAAATATCTAGCTCCTTAAGAGACTTAATCACACTTTAGTATTTCCTATTTCCGTAGTATAAAAGAACCTTAAAAGTAAACAAAGCTCTTCTTAATGTTTAAAACATAGCACCATGATAAATTATATGTCCTGTCATCTATATTGCTAAGTAAGACTGAGAGGATTTTTGAAGCATAGCGTGTTCTTGCATTGGAATATTTTAAGGTACTTATACCATTCTACATCCAGTTCTTGATTATCTCCAGGTGGATTACCAGAATAAATGTTTTGCTCAAATTGGCTTTTCCTGTCATTCCTTTTATTCCTGGATTATATTTGCCCACTATCACTTAAAAAGAAGTTCCAAACCAATTTTAGTGTTTCTGAATCTCCTCAAGAAGTATCACCGTTTGTGTTTCCTGCCATGATGCCCAACCCCAGATATTATATGGTTCTATAGTGTAGTAGAATTGCCTGGATTTCAGTCATTTTGGGTCTTCATTTAGTACCTTAGAATGTTAGAAAACTCATTTGACTTCTCTGGGATTCTTTTTTATTCCTCTTAAAAATAAGTTGTACTTCTGAGACACTTTTTTATTCTAAACTTAAATTTTTTGCAGTTCTTGGAGTCAAACCCAGGGTCTTGCACACATGTTAATCAAGTGCTGACTTGTGCTAAGCTACACTTGGCCCCTAAACCTTATAATTATATTTGAATAATGTATCTATATCTTACCTCTGAGAAAGAACTCTATTCTGGTCATTAATTATTTCTTTCAGAAAAATGAATCAAATCTTGCTTTTAATTTTTTGCTTTTGCTTCTCCTTAATCTATGTTGAATCAGTCACTAAATCCAGTTCTTCCTTTAAAATGTCCACCTTCTCCCCTTAGTGGAATCTTATCAAACATTCCACCTACACTCTCAGCATCCTTCCACCCTGGAAACAGCCCAACCATTTGCCATCTCAGTTTACAAGCTCCGAACTGACCTGTCTAGCTGAGAGTGTCATACATGCGTACATATCAACTCCATTAAAACATTCTCATATTGCTCAGTTCTCCTTGATAGACTTTTTTTCTATTACTCTTAATAGAATCAGCTGTTTCCCCACTTTTTTTTTAATATTTATTTTTTAGTTGTAGATGGACACAATATCTTTATTTTATGTGGTGCCGAGGATTGAACCCAGGGCCTCACATGTGCTAGGCGAGAGCTCTACTGCTAAGCCACAACCCCAGCCCTGTTCTGCCACTTTTATTACTTTTCTGGACTTTTCTACCCTTACTCTTTCATGTGACTGAAGACTTCTACCTCAATGAAAAATAATATCTTTCAAGTCTGAACTCAGTTTACCTTCACCATCAGTTATCTGTGTCTTCACTCATTCTTCTGTTCAAAGGTGTCATCATGTTTATTATTCCTTCCTGTCTACCCTTCTAGAATTTTGCCTAATCTGCAGTGTCCTTTCTATATCAAGCTCTCTTTTCACTGATTTTTCTCAGTCAGTAAATATATTAAGATCTTCCCTAACCTTCAGAAATCTTCCTTTGACTTTGCATCCACACTCATACAAGTATTTTCTGTATTTTCCTTCTTCACTCCCCATTCATTTTCTTAATATATTCATTTATTTATTTGTTTGTATGTGGTGCTGAGGTTGAACCCAGTGCCTCACATGTGCGAGGCAAGTGCTGTACCACTGAGCTAAAACCCTAGCCCCCTATTCATTTTTAACAGATTTGTTAAATATAAATCACATTCCATCATACAATTTTCCTATTTAAAGTGTGTAATTCAAATCTTTTAGTTTACTCACATTTTAGAACATTTTTAATTACCCTGAAGAGAAACCTTAGACCCCATAGTAATTACCTCCCAAATCTCCTCTATTACTTTTTCACTGCGTCCCTAGGGATCCACCAAATCTATTTTCTGTCTCTATAGATTTGCCATTTGGACCTTTCATTAAAAAGGGAATCATAATATGTGTTTTTCTTGTGATTGACTTCTCTCACTTAGCATAATGTTTTTAGGTTCCTACATGTTGTGGCATGTATCAGTATTATATGGGTGTATCACATTTAATTTATATATTCATCACTTGATGGATATTTGGGTTGTTTCCACTTGGAGACTGTTATAAATAATTCTTCCATGAACATTCATGTGTAAGTTTGTGTTAGTATAAGTTTTCATTTCTCTTGGAATGGAATTGCTAAGTCATATTATTTCTATGTTGAACCATTTAAGGAGATCTCCAATCCTCACAAATCCTAAAGCTCTACATTATTTTACTTTTCCCTCAGCAGTGTATAAGGGTTTCAATTTCTCCACGTCCTGACCACTATTACTGTTATTGGACTTTTAAAAATTATTACTCTTTTAGTGGATGTGAGATACATCTCATTGTGACTCCATTTGCCTTTCTTTTACAGCTAATGATATTATTGGCCATTTGTATATCTTCTGTGGAGAACTATTCAGATCCTTTGCTCATTCAAAAAAATGGGTTGTGAGTTGTAATTTTTCTTTATATTCTGGATACAAGTTGCTTTCAAATATATGATTGCACAATTTGTCTTCCATCCTGTGAGTTGTCTTTTCATTATCCATTACTTTTTAAACTCATTTTATTCTGATATGTACCCCTGGCAATTGACTTTCTAATTACTAACTTTGAAGACCTCAAATCTTACTATATTACTTTGCCATATTTAACACCACTGGCTACTTTTTCTGCTTTAAAACTCTTGTTTAAAAAAGACTGCTTAGATTCAAATTCCAATTCTGTCATTTATTGTGGTATTCATCAAGTCAGAGCCTTTCTGTCCTTCATTTTGTTCATCTTTGAAATGAGGATAGTTATAGTACCTGATTTGGCATAATTAACATTAAATGAATTAATGTAGACTGCTTAGAACAGACTGACAATTACTTTTAGTAGTCGTGCTATATCATTGTCATTGATGTCTCTATTCTCCTTTTTTCTACTCATTTTTTTCTTTCATTCAGTGTTCTTCGGGAATCTCTTTTGCCATCTCTATCCATCCTTCCTCTGAAATATAGATGCTCTCCAAGGCTCTGATGTTGGCCCTCTTCTTATCTTGTAGTTGCTCTCTAGGTGACCTCTTTCCCAGTGGTTTAGATCTTGACTCCTGAATCTTTCAGAGGCCTTGACTCCTTTCCAGACATCATTTCAAATTGCATACTCTACAGGTACCCAAGTTCAACATATTTAAAACTATCCATGTTCCTCCCTCAAATCTGCATCTTGTGTTGGTGGTCCTTGTCTTCATTAACTGAATCCTAAATATGTTTGGGTACTTAACTTTAATTTCATATTTTAATTCTTCCCTTTCCTCTTACCCTCTAAATCTAATAAGTGATCAGATTGTGTTTCCTCCATCTCTGTCTTTTTCTGTTCATTCCTGTTACAAGTCCACAGAAAGAATAGATTACCTAGGGAGTCTGTGCTTCCATTGATGCCACCAAGATTCATTCTTGCACAGAACTGAGTGCTCTAGTACAGTTTCAGATAGTTTTTTGCTGTTTAGTTTCTCCTTAACTCTTTCTCATTAGTCCACCTGGTTTCTTTATTTGGAATGAGCAACCTTATTTGCTCATTTGTGTTCTCAACACCTCACTAATATTCTACGGTCTTCTACCTACCACATAGTTTTAATATATGTGCCAGTATTACTTTAACATACTTCCACTTTTTTCTTCTCCTTCTCTCTCTCTCATATATTCAGGGTAGGTGAAAGAAGTTATAACCCTATCCTTTTCCTGTGTAGCTTCTTTCACTTAGCTCATGGAACACACTATCTCAGTACCATATTCAGCAGTGCCATTTCAATTGTTTCTTAAACCCACCTCTCATTGCTTTAGACCTGTCTGAGACAAATACTTGTACATTGTCTTATCTAGCTAAGATTTATTGAGCACCTACTACAAGACAAGCACTGTTCTAATCATTGTAAACATAGCTTAAAAGCAGATATAGCTTATATTCTTTGAACACCTTCTGCACGTTAGTGGCTTAGTGATTATGCGTTGAATTGTCTTGCTTCAGTCATTTTTCCAATCCCCACAATCACTATTAGACCAGACCTTTTTAGTTTCATGCTTAGATTATAATAGCACTTTAAATTAGACTAATGTTTCCTATTTCTTTTTCCCATAGACTCAATAAATTATGGTGCTTGAACATTTTTGTTTCTTTGTGCTCTGTACTACATTAGTCACCAGGAATATAAACATTAATAAGAAACAGTTATTCATTTTAAAGAATTTATAGCATATTAAAAAAGATTGTAAATGATCCATTGCAGTAAGGGCTATGGCAAACATCATTACAATATCTCTTGATCACAGAAAGCTTCCCAAAAGAAATGATGTCCAAGTACTGTAATTCTATATATCTTCTGTCTAGAGAGTAATGTGGTAGGAAGTAGGAGTAGGAAAAAAAATGAGAAATAAGAAAGATATTTCAACCATCTTAAGGCAATGGGGACCCAATTGAAAGTTCTAAAATGAGTGACATCAGATTTGTAATTCAGAACCTTTTTTTTTTTTTTACTACAGCAAGGAGCATGAATTGGCAGGAAGGGAGTAACACATGAATGACCACATATTCTAAATTTCTTTTGTAGGCAAGAAATGATAGTGCTTGAACTAAAGTATTAACCATGGCAATGAAGAGAGATTGTGAATTTTATTTTTTAGAATTTTTATTTATTTTGGTAAGATTGTAAAATTTACACACCTGGTTTGTAGTTGGGGTGGTAAAGGTTGCAGTATGAGAGCCATATCTAGAAAATATAGGTTTCTTTCTTTTTTTTTAACTTTTTTTAATTTTTTAGTTGTAGATGGACACAATACCTTTATTTTTATGTGGAGCTGAGGCTTGAACTCAGTACTTCCCCATACAAGGCAAGCACTCCACCACTGAACTACAACCCCAAGCTGAAAATATAGGTTTCTGACTTGGGCATAAATGGTATAGATAATAC